GCAAATTTGCGGATGATACTAAACTGGGAGGAGTGGTAGATACGCTGGAGGGGAGGGATAGGATACAGAAGGACCTAGACAAATTGGAGGATTGGGCCAAAAGAAATCTGATGAGGTTCAATAAGGATAAGTGCAGGGTCCTGCACTTAGGATGGAAGAATCCAATGCACTGCTACAGACTAAGGACCGAATGGCTAGGCAGCAGTTCTGCGGAAAAGGACCTAGGGGTGACAGTGGACGAGAAGCTGGATATGAGTCAACAGTGTGCCCTTGTTGCCAAGAAGGCCAATGGCATTTTGGGATGTATAAGTAGGGGCATAGCGAGCAGATCGAGGGACGTGATCGTTCCCCTCTATTCGACATTGGTGAGGCCTCATCTGGAGTACTGTGTCCAGTTTTGGGCCCCACACTACAAGAAGGATGTGGATAAATTGGAGAGAGTCCAGTGAAGGGCAACAAAAATGATTAGGAGTCTAGAACACATGACTTATGAGGAGAGGCTGAGGGAGCTGGGATTGTTTAGCCTGCAGAAGAGAAGAATGAGGGGGGATTTGATAGCTGCTTTCAACTACCTGAAAGGGGGTTCCAAAGAGGATGGCTCTAGACTGTTCTCAATGGTAGCAGATGACAGAACGAGGAGTAATGGTCTCAAGTTGCAGTGGGGGAGGTTTAGATTGGATATTAGGAAAAACTTTTTCACTAAGAGGGTGGTGAAACACTGGAATGCGTTACCTAGGGAGGTGGTAGAATCTCCTTCCTTAGAGGTTTTTAAGGTCAGGCTTGACAAAGCCCTGGCTGGGATGATTTAACTGGGAATTGGTCCTGCTTCGAGCAGGGGGTTGGACTAGATGACCTTCAGGGGTCCCTTCCAACCCTGATATTCTATGATTCTATGATCTGGACCCATGGAAAAGAAGCCCTTGAGGAATTCCACCATGATTTCAACAATTTCCATCCCACCATCAACCTCAGCCTGGTCCAGTCCACACAAGAGATCCACTTCCTGGACACTACAGTGCTAATAAACGATGGTCACATAAACACCACCCTATACCGGAAACCTACTGGCCGCTATTCCTACCTACATGCCTCCAGCTTTCACCCTGACCACACCATCCGATCCATTGTTTACAGCCAAGCTCTGCGATACAACCGCATTTGCTCCAACCCCTCAGACAGAGACAAACACCTACAAGATCTCTATCAAGCATTCTTACAACTACAATACCCACCTGCGGAAGGGAAGAAACAGATTGATAGAGCCAGAAGAGTTCCCAGAAGTCACCTACTACAGGACAGGCCTAACAAAGAAAATAACAGAACGCCACTAGCCGTCACCTTCAGCCCCCAACTAAAACCCCTCCAACGCATTATTAAGGATCTACAACCTATCCTGAAGGATGACCCATCACTCTCACAAATCTTGGGAGACAGGCCAGTCCTTGCCTACAGACAGCCCCGCAACCTGAAGCGAATACTCACCAGCAACCACACACCACACAACAGAACCACTAACCCAGGACCGTATCCTTGCAACAAAGCCCGTTGCCAACTGTGCCCACATATCTATTCAGGGGACACCATCACAGGGCCTAATAACATCAGCCACACTATCAGAGGCTCGTTCACCTGCACATCTACCAATGTGATATATGCCATCATGTGCCAGCAATGCCCCTCTGCCATGAACATTGGTCAAACTGGACAGTCTCTATGTAAAAGAATAAATGGACACAAATCAGATGTCAAGAATTATAACATTCATAAACCAGTCGGAGAACACTTCAATCTCTCTGGTCACGCGATTACAGACATGAAAGTTGCGATATTACAACAGAAAAACTTCAAAACCAGACTCCAGCGAGAGACTGTTGAATTGGAATTCATTTGCAAATTGGATACAATTAACTTAGGCTTGAATAGAGACTGGGAGTGGCTAAGTCATTATGCAAGGTAACCTATTTCCCCTTGTTTTTTCCTACCCCCACCCCTTCCTCAGACGTTCTTGTTAAACCCTGGATTTGTGCTGGAAATGGCCCATCTTGATTATCATACACATTGTAAGGAGAGTGATCACTTTAGATAAGCTATTACCAACAGGAGAGTGGGTTTGTGGGGGGAGAGAAAACCTTTTGTAGTGGTAAACACCCATTTTTTCATGGTTTGTATGTATAAGAACATCTTCTGTATTTTCCACAGTATGCATCTGATGAAGTGAGCTGTAGCTCACGAAAGCTCATGCTCAAATAAATTGGTTAGTCTCTAAGGTGCCACAAGTACTCCTTGTGGTATAACTAGGACAATTATAAGCCCCTTTATATCTGTGTCCAGTCTAGGGGGCAGTTGTAGCTCTTTAACGATCCCAGTGTTGCTAAAGCAGTACAATTTGTATGTGTGGACAAGGCCGTACGGACTTATATTAACAGATATCAGGGCCTCTTCGACCGATTTGACAGCATCAGTTTCTAAGCGACTTAGGTAAATCAGCGCAAGTGCGGGGCGTAGACAAGGCCTTGGAGAAGGGTGAATATGAAAAGGAGACCTGCCTAGAAGGTAAACCAAAGTGGTAGTAAGCCAGAGCTGATCAGAGAGCCACAGAGTCTGAGATCCTAATGAGGAGGGGCTGTCAGAAGGGGGGCGGGGACAGGCACATGCTGATTGTCAGACAGTAGGACTTTGCTGTGTGGGCCCTGTCCCGCGCTGCTTGCAATCGAGATTAATTATGATGAGCTGTGAGGCAGGTCAGGATGATGCGAGGCGAGGCAGGAGGAGGCAGGTTACACTAAAAAGGGCACCTGGTCTCTCCCAAGATGCTCACCATGACATTTCCCTTGTTATTAACATAGGGCGGGAGCTGTGCTCTGAAAGCATTTAGGCAGCTCTGAAAATCCCACCCGTCGCATGAAGGGAGTGGGACTTCTGGAGAGCGATCGGAATGAGGAAAGGGGTTGAGTAGCCTCCAGGGCTTTGGGGGTTCATCCTTGGCATGGAGGGGTGGGGTCAGCATGGCAGACTGCACCCTAGGTAGGCTTATACCCTCTGCCGCTTTGATTCTTGCAGTGAGATCGAAGAATCCCTGGCTGCTGCTCTGGGGGTAGGGCTGAGAGCTGCTCTCGGAGCGGAGGAATGCACCGAGGGATGTAGGGACCAGTCTGGGTGCTCAGGCAAAGGCAGTATGGCATGGGAAGCCCACCCCAAGGAAGTGGCGCCAGGATGCTGGCCGTGATCAGGGGGAGCACAGGGGGACCAGTCGATACAGGGTGGACTCAAACACTCAGAACCAAACGTCTTCAAGCATGGGGGAGCCTGAATGTGGACCTTGTCTTATCCCGGGGAAAACTGCACCAGGGCAAATCGTGTCTGCACAATGGGTCTGCAGTGGCTGACATTCCTGTGTAGACAGGTCCTCAGCCCCGTAGCCCGTTGACTTCAGGGTAGTGCACTCCTCTTGTGGCAGGGGGTCTGAAGGGCCAGCCTCCTGCTGGCCTTCTTGGTTCAAAGATTTCCGTTGAGCAGCATCCCTTTCTCCTCGCTCTGCCCCCGGATCCACTGGCCCCATTGCTGTACAACCAAGGAAGTCACAGAATAGCTCCGACCCCCAGTCTGACCCAGTGACCTTGAACAAACTCATTATGGAGAGACACTATGAGAAACCAAGGATGTTTAATGCTTCTAGCTGAGTCATGCAGGAGGTGCCTGATTGGGATGCCTTGTCAGCTGCTTATTTGTAAACTGAACCGTGTAATACAACTATTCTGGGGGAGCTACGCTCCATAAGAACAGAGTCTCCCCAACAGATGACAGCGCTTAGCTAGGAGGACGTTGTCTTTGCAATGGGCAGGCGGGAGGAACGTCTAATCCTGTCGTTCACTCTTCCTGCATGTCCATAAAGTGCCATGGAATTAACGGGGCCGAGAGCTTAGCAAGATTCAATGTGGGATCGGCTATTTATGTGGCTAGCCGTGCAAATGACAGCAAATGTTTTGGAAGAGATGGGCGTACACCAATCTCTGACTATTAGAGAACGGGGTTAGACTGAATGTGTGTGTTACTGTGGGATTCTTCTTACACCTTTCTCAGAAACATCTGGTGCCACCACTATCAGAGACAGGACCATGGGCTAGCTAGACCTCGGGACTGATCCAGTCTGGCGATCCCTATGTAAAGAGATCCCTCTGCTGCCAAGAAATACTAGCAAAGGGACTCACCCGTCGACTTCCTCAGGAGTTTGCCGTGAATAAATGCTGAGTTTGGCCCAATATTAATGAAAATGTTTCCCTTCCTCTTGAGGAATCTACAGCTGGAACTCCCAGGAAGCCAGTCCTTTCCCAGGGGAGATAAGAGAACAGAGGAAAGGCAGCTCCACTCCTGCTTCCTCAGGGGGAGGGGAGTATCCTGGCTGGTTGGTTTCTGGCTCCTTTGTTTGCAGAGTTGCTGGCTTGGCTTGGCCCAGACACCCAGGTGACTCATCCTGAAAACTACGGGCACCAGGTAGGGCAGGCCAGGCTGGCTCTGTTCCACCCTCCCACAGGAAATGCTGGTTGAATGTTTTCCAGCTGGTTTTTACAGGTGTCACTCAGCACCTTGGTTCTGGAACAACATGACTGGTCTGATGTTTGGCTGGCTCCTAGGGCGACTGCTCCTCCAGTGGGAGGCAGTGATGTCTGATGGACCCCACCTGATTTCCACTGGGGCCCAGCCTGATGTACAAACTCTCACTGCATAACAGGCTATGACCCAGGTTCTGGGGTGTGATCCATCCCTCAGAGCCGCGGTAGCCTCTTACTACAGGCTCATTGGGGGCGGGGGGGGGGGCTGGGCTGATCTGAGGTTAGTTAATTAAAGGGGGAGGAACTCGGTTCGGGTTGTGATTTCTACAAGATGGTAGCTGCTCAGTGCAGGTGCAGTGCCGGTGAGTGAGAACAGAGCCAAAGCAGAGAGCTCTGGGCCTTGCCCAAGCACTGACAGCTTCTTGTGTCTCTTCTCTCCTCCCCTTGTAGCTCCCCCAGCTCCTCTGGGCCGTGCAGAGATCGCCCGGGGGCGGCAGGCGAGGAGGCCCAATCAGAGGGAGGCCGTGACGCTGGGACGGGCCTAGACGAGATGAAGAAGGTTGGCGGTAGCTCCCACGCCCATCACCCCAAGCCAGGAGAGTCCACCCGGAGCACCTGGTTCAGCTGGAAGAAAGCACCTGCTGATCAGCCCGAGGAAGAGGCCAAGCCCGGCTTCCGCAAGGTCTCTTTGCTGTCACGGAGGTTAGAGGCTGCCGCCAGCCCCTCCCGGGTGTCGATGCTGCTGGAGGCCTGGGAGAAGGGAACAATAGGCAGGGAATCTTCAGACTTGCCTTCTCCAACAGACGGCAGCTGCTCCCCATCTCCCGGCCTGCGGCAGGATTTCTCTGAACACACGCCCGTGTTCTCACAAATCTATTCTCCAGTTCAAAGGGAGACGAGGCCGACTGAAAGGGGAAAGCAGGCTGCTGATAGCACTGCACTCACTGAATCCCAGAGGGATGGCCACCTGCCCGGCGCTGTCAGCACCACTGCATCCACTGGACCCCCAAGAGAAAGCCACTTGCCCGGTGCAAATGGCATCACTACACTCATTGGGTCCCCAAAAGAAAGCCACATGCCCAGTGCAGGTGGTTTCACTACACCTGTTGGGTCCCCGAGAGAAAGCCACGGGCCCAGTGCTGTTGGCACCAATACGCCCATTGGGTCCCCAAGAGAAAGCCACGAGCCCAGTGAAATTGGCACCAATACGCCCATTGGGTCCCCAGGAGAAAGCCACGGGCCCCGTGCTGTTGGCATCACTACTGTAACCAGTTCCCAAAAGCAATGGCACATCCCAAATGCTGGCAGCATTACTGTATTTAGATCCGAAAGGGAAATCCTCATGCTCAAAGCTGGAAGCACTGTTGAGTTTAGATCCGGAAGAGAAGTCACTGGGCCTAACGTGGAGAGCACCAGTGTAAGCGAATTCGCACGAGGGAGCAGGCAGTGTGCTGGTGGAAGCCTGATGGCCCTTGGTGAGGCTGCTGGTAGCTCTGCAGCTGGCTTGCAGGGAGAAAGCCGCATGTCGCAAGCTGGCGGCGCCGATGTGACTGAATCCAAAGGAGACAGGGGCATGCTGGGCGCCTTTAGCACCAGCATAAATGCACCCCAGAGGCAGAACAGTCCCTTCGCTGTGAGCGGATCTGAAACCGACTGCAGCCTGCCAGGTCTGGGCGGCGCGGCCTCAGCTGGGTCGGCAGTGGAAAGCGGCATGCCAAGCACTGCGGGTGCCGTGTTAGCTGCACCCGGGACAGAGAGCACGTCTAATGCTGCTGGCTCGCCTGGACATAGTGCCCAAGGAGACAGTGGCAATCCAGAGCCTTTAGCTGGCGTGCAGCTGTTGGCCTCCCAGGCTAAGGTCAGGGGTGAGGGGGATGAACCAGCATGGAGCTCCGAGGGATCTGCACAAGAGTCCAACGTTTCATCTGAAGAGACCAAGGCCTCCCCTGAAGCCTTGAGCCACGCCCAGCCAACGGGGAGTCCCCAGGAGACGGCAGAAGAGGACCCCGACCTGTCTGTGGACATGGAACTTTTGGTGGACACCCTCCGTAGCATGGAGCCCTCCGAAATCCGAAAGCCTCCCAAGATCTCCCGGCCATCGCGCTCTTCCTCACGTGGAAAATACGTTACCCTGCCGCCCATTGACGAGCATCACATTGCTCCCAAGTCCCAGGTTCCCCTCCCAGAGGCCCTCAGCAAGCTCTTTGGTCGGACAGAACAGAAGCATCTGGAGGAGAATGGACCAAAATGGGAGAACGTGGATCCCGAGGAGGAGGAGGAGATAGAGAACCCGTATCTCAGTAAGGTTGATAAGCCACAGGCCGAAGAGGAGCCCAGGAAAGTTTACCCCTGGGAAAACATGTCAACTGAAATAGAGGAGAAGACGCTGTCCCTCCTGGGGAAGTTGAGGCAGCCCCCAGGGGACGAGAAGGCTTCCAGGAATCAAAGCATCCTTTTCAATGCTAACATCCTCAAAGGTGCCTCCCTGCTGACAGATCTCCGGGAGCAGAAGGCCATCCCCACGGAAGACAAGCCCTACTCCCGCTTGGACAGCAGCCTCCTCTACAGGCGGTACATCTCCTCCGTGACGCCCCCGCTCAAAGCTCTGGAGAAGGAGCGAGAAGGAAGGAGCTCACCCACGCCAATTGACCTGGCTCTGCTAAATGCCAGAGAGCAGGACTGGATGCCACCCAATGGACCACAGTTGAAACCCTGTGAACAGCTGACCTCTGAGCCTTCCCCCGCTGGAGTCCAAGTCTCTCTGGACCCTCAGAAGGCACCAGGCATAGACAAAAGCACTGGCCAGATTCCTTTGCTCTTCATGGAGGCTGAGCAGAAAAATACTCCTCCCCTGTTGCTGGGTCACCCTGCAGCTGGGGTGAGTAAATCCACACTACGCAGTCAGGTGAGTCTCAAGAGCTCTGAGCAGGAAGCCAGCTCAGCTTGTCCTCACCCCCGTCCCAATAATGCCATGCCCTTGAGTGCCTCGTCTGGTGGTAGGGGAATCAAAACTCACCGGGGGTTCTGCGCTCTAGAAACTCCCTCAGTCCCACTGTGCTGCTCTGACCCTGCAGCTTGTGCTCCACTGCTGATGGGGAAAAGCTACAAAGAAACTGATGGCACTGGTGGGACCTGCATTCCCAAAGCAGAGCGTTGATAATCATTGTGAACAGTGCCAATAACATCATCAGTTATGGGTCAGCTCAGGAGGTCCTTACTCAGGCAAAACTCCCCGTGAGTAAGGACAGCAGGGTTTGGCCTTTGTAATATTTGTGATTGGTGTGAAGTCGGTCTTTGGAGGGAGGGGGGAAGCTTTGTGGTGTTGGTGGGGGTGGGGTTAGCTGACGTGAACTGGGTGAGGGAGGGGGGAGGTTCCACTCTGGCAGACCCCAGGACCTGCACCCCTCTGGAGCCCTGGGGAGAATGCAGAGCAACGGGGAGAATGGGAGGCAGGGGTGCAGACACCCATCAGGATGAGGCTCTGAGGCGTAGGCAGGACTGACGCTGTCGTCATGACGCACACGGGGTCACCCAGCTGGGTATGAGCCACTCTGGGACGGACAGAAGGGCCGATTCTGATACCCCTTCCTCAAACTGTGCAGCACCTTGCTCCACGAGTAGCTCCATTGCCTTCTGCTCGTGGAGTAAGGTAAGTAATGGAATCTGGAGTGTCCCAGAGAGAGACTGGTACAGCAGCTGGTATAGGAGCAAGTGAGAGATGATCTGATATGATTGGATGATAGATCTGGAGAGCTGGATTATATTGGATGAGAGATCGATGGGAGTGTTTGGGATTAGGTAGACAGATTAGGTAGATGGCTATGCACAGGGAATGCATACATAGGGACTAGATAGATGAGAATGGGGATGTTTAGATAGAGGGCTGTGTATAAGGGATAGACAGACAGAGGTCTATGGGGTTGGATAGACAGAGGGCTGTGTATAAGGGATAGACAGACAGAGGTGTATGGGGTTGGATAGATAGAGGGTTGTGTATAAAGGAAAAACAGACAGAGGTGTATGGGGTTGGATAGATGGAAAGCTCTGTATGAGAGAGAGAGCTAGCTAGCTGGATGTGTCTGAGGATAGCTAGAGAGACCGCCATGTAGGACAGGGGCTGGATAGCTGGAGAGAAGTGGGTGAGGTAACTGATGAACAGAGATGATGGGATGCCAGGTGTGTGGAAGGAAGGAATCTTGGGGCAGACGAGAGAAGACGAGATGGGACCGAGGGAGCCTTCTCGAAGTGCACGGCTCTTTCCAGAGGACGTGCCATTTGCTTCCGCTTCTTATCCAGTTTTCCTTTTCTTTTTTTCCAGGAAGAGGCAAAGAACTCCCCCACGAAGCTCCACGGGAGACCTGGGAAGGTACTGATGCTGTAGGCAGGGCTGGGGTGGGGGCGTCGGCCTGGCGCAGGGGCAGGGCAGGCAGTTGAGGCTAGTGGTGGTGTCATTTCTCTCCAGATCATTCTGTTCTCCGAGTCGGGCTTCGCGGGCCAGAAGAGGGAGATCTGGGGCGATGTCGCTGACGCTACGTCCTGGGAGCTCTCCCACACCATCTCCATCCGGGTGGTCCGAGGGGGGGTAAGCGTACCGCCGGCTGCTCTGCTACAGTAAGGTTGCCTGCAATGGCACGTGGCCCATCTGCGACTGCTAGTAGCAAACATCTCGAATGGCCAGAGATGGGACGCTAGATGGGGAGGGCTCTGAGTTACTACACAGAATTCTTTCCCAGGTGTCTGGCTGGTGGGGGGGTCGGGATCAAACTGGTTGCCGTCTTTGGGATCAAGAAGGAATTTTCTCCCAGATCAGATTGGCTGAGACCCCTGGGGGTTTTCACCTTCCTCTGCAGCATGGGCCATGGGTCGCTTGCTGGTTTGAACTCGAGTAACTGGTGGATTCTCAGTAACTTGAATCAAGCTCTGAGGACTTTAGGAACTCGACCAGCAGCTAGGGACCTACTACAGGAATGGGTGGGGGAGGTTCTGTCACCTGCCATAAGCAGGTCAGACTAGATGATCCCGATGGTGCCCCCAGCCTTAGCGTCTATGAGTCTGTGACCCGTAGGAAGCTGCCCAGCTCAGCTTGCATGAGAACCCCAATCCCCACATTCGGGCGACTCTCCAGCACTGGAGAGGGAGGTTAAGGCACTGAGCTGGGACTCAGGAGATGAGGGCTCCATTCCCGGCTCCGCCACTGGTTCCCAGTGAGGTCTTGGGCAAGAAATCTCTATGCCTTGTTTCACCAGTGCGGAGAATAATCCTTCCTGTCTCCTACCTTTGTCGGCGGGTCTATTTAGATTGTGAGCTCCTTGGGGCAGGGAGCGCACAGCACTGAACATGTCTCGGCCCTAATCTTGGTGGTTAGAAACTAGTGCCCTGGTCACTGATAAAATGCCCTCGCAGCCAAAGACTAAATCCAGGGCTCTGGTCACTCTCTGGAAACCCCATGACGGGGGGGCTTTAAACAGTGGCTCAGCTTGGGCTTGCACTGATCCCTCTGATTATTATCCAGGTTCTACCATTCTGCTGGGAATTTAACAGTCTCTTGATTATCAGCTTACTGTTTAATCGGGTCTCCTTGGTTATTCCCCTGGTTTGCTCCCCGCTGTGTGTTGACCCCGGGTTACTGTCCAAGGCCCTGATGCTGCAAAGTCATCCTCATGGGTAAGACCCTTTATCCTACACAGAGACCCACTGACACCGCTGGGACACCACATGAGCACTAGGGTTCCCTTTGCCCGGTCGGGGTCCCAGTGGGCAGGCAAGCGGTGCTGGACTCCCAAGTCGGGCACAGGGTCAGAGGCTCTGCTGGCAGGCAGCACGGTTACCCTGCAGTGCTCTCAGTGCAAGACCCCCCTCCCATGCGCTTTGCTCCCTCCAGCTGGGTGATGTACGAGAAGCCGCGATTCCACGGGCGGAAGTGTGTGCTGGCCGAGGGGGATGTGGAGATCAATAATCCATGGACAGCCTATCGGAAAGACGGGGAGGTGCCTGAGAACGCGCCCTTCCGCATCGGCTCCTTCAAGAGGGTGGTGAGGGTAAGTGCGGGACCCCATTGAGGCTGCTCTCCGGGTGGGTTTGATCCTCTTGGAAAACGTTTCCCCTCCTCCAAAGCAATGGGATGTTCAGTAGAGTTGGGCCCAAACCGTAGACCCAACGCCCGTGAAGTTTGTGGCGCAGGCCCAGCAGAAGGGCATGCATGGCAGCTGGTGTGGGAGCAGAGTGCGAGGGAGGGCTATGCACTGGGGCAGTGCCAATGGAAGTGGAATGATGAGATCGTTGTCCGTGGAAGCGTTTGTTGTAGGAGGTCAACATAGACAACGATGAGGCCAATAATAAGAGTAACGTCAGAGATGGAGCCCTGGATTTTTTTACAAGGCAGATTCTTGGAATCTCTAGGGCTTTTGGGTCCATTTGGAAGAGAATCTAAAATGTCATCGAACTCCTTCTCCACAACCTGAGAAAAAGCCCTTGATGGAAGTTGATCTTAACTTGTCTTTTGGGATCTAAATTAGTGAAGCAGCTGGCATTTGATTGGAGGCCGGGATAGGTTTCCCTGGGGTGGTTCTTAGCACAAGCTCGGGGAGAGATGAAGGGTACTTTAGTCCCTGCTGGCTAGCAGGCTGCTGTCTCCTGTTGCAGGATTATCGGATCCCCGAGATCAGTTTGTTTACTGAGGAGAATGGAGAAGGCACAAAAGTGAGGTTCACGGATTCCTCAGAAGACACCCGGATCTGTGGCCAGCCCTTGAAGGCCTCTTCCATCATTGTCCACTCTGGCCTGTAAGACATGCGTACTGTGATGCTGGGATCTGGGGGTGGGGGTTCCTCTCTTCCTGCTTTGGCTTCCCAGTGCGACACAGGGAATCGCAGGGGAGACGTAAACCAGAGAAGGAGCCCGATCCAATGACCTTTGAAGTCAGTGGAAAGACTCACATTTTGTTCAGAGAGCAATGGGTCAGGCCCATGGCTTGTCCATATCTAATTGTTTTCTTGCTGTCCTCCAGGTGGCTCATTTACTCCAGACCCTTCTTTGATGACGACCCCTATGTTTTGGAACCTGGCGGGTATCCCAATTTAAAAGCCTGGGGTGCAAAGGACCCTTCCGTCTGCTCTATGCATCCTATTAAACTGGTGAGTGCTTGGCACTGGTGCCTCCCACCCTCCCATTGGGGGGTGCTACCAGCTAATCACTCTGTCCCTTCTCAGATAGAATGGTGCAAAAGTAGTGGCTGGTTTCTCACAAAATGATAGACAGCCTTGTATCAGGATCAAGCATATCTTATAAGGGATGGCGACCACCATTGGAATTTGAACCTCCCCTGACGGAGATGGTTTGTCCTGAGCTGCGTTTTTGGAAAGGTGTCTGGGACCTAGTGAAATGGCCAGTGCACTGTGGAGACTGGAACGAAGCAGGAACACTCTGAATCCCCAGGGCTGCACATGGCAGGTGTCTCATCAAGCCAGAAGACAAGCTGAAGCTCACACACAGCCCCATCCTTCCTTACAAGACTATAAATCAGCCTGATTTGACTTCAGTAGCTTTTGAGCCCCAAGCCCTTAGCTTGTCTGGTTCGAGCCTTGCATCTGTGGCCTGCTTCACTCTCTCGCTCTCTGCCGGGCAATTCTCTGAGCTCTCATTCTGGTTTCCTCTTGTTTCAGGGCTGCCCTGCTGTAGAGAAACCTGGGGAGCCCAAGGTAAGAGAGGAAGGGACTTGCTGAGCCAGGGCCCTAAAACTGATCAGGTGAAAGGATCAGTTCGCAAAGGGAAGGGTGTCCAGAGTGCTCACAGCTGCTGTGGAACCAGCCACTCCCATCAGGAGGTGCTGTTGGGGATCACTCCAAGAGATGGGCTGAGGGACTGCTCACAACCCACTCCCAGCTGTTGCTAGGAGGAGTGACTATAGAGCATGGTGTCAGAAGACTGGCTGTGGCAGTGCTCCCGCAACTCCAGCCTCTTCCAGTAGGGGGCGCTGTAGGGAATGGGGCAGGAGCACTGGCTGTGGGGGAGTTCCCAACTACTCCAGTCCCGACCTACCCCAGCAGGAGTCACTAGGTCTGGATCTGAGGTTCCACAATCGCCATGTGTTTCCTGTGTCTCTCCAGGCAGTGATCTATGAGAAGGCATGTTTCCAGGGCCACAGCTGCGAAGTGAACCGAGACATCTATGCTCTGAAGAAGCAGGAGAACAGCCAGGGCCCTGTGATGTCCACAATGGGGTCTCTGCGCATCCTGGGGGGCTGGTGAGTGTATGGAGGAACTGCAGAGACCAGAGGGTGAGATTGTCGTCATTGCAAAGTGCTCTGGTGGCCAAAGTCCAAGGTGAAGGAGACCGGGGTCTCCAAGCCCAGGAGCTGTTCTGGGTGAGGTGCCCCCATACACAAAGGGGAAAGGGGTGCCCCTAGCAATAGGAGAAGCATCTCAATAGCCTGGGGGTGAATGTGGGCCCAGAAGGTGCATGACGGAACTGACTGCTTGTCTGTCTCCGTTCCCTCAGCTGGGTCGGCTACGAGAAGGAGGGGTTCCGGGGCCACCAGTATCTGCTGGAGGAAGGCGAATACCATGACTGGACGCAGTGGGGCGGCTACAATGACGAGCTGGTGTCCTTACGGCTGATCCGGACGGTGAGAGGAGCAAGCTGCGGGGCCGGCAGGGTGTTTGACAGCAGACGGCTGGATTGCCACCTCCTTTACCCACGCCAGCCTGGGCAGGGCCGGCTCTCCCACACTGCCCGCCCACATGCCTCAGCCGAAGTCAGAGTGCCAGGGGAGTTCAGCACCTTTATCTGTCCAGCCCTTGCCCTCTCTGAGACCACTGTCCAGAAGGGTGCCAAGCAGTGCCAGTAGCTTTTGTGCTGTGGACACCTGTCCCAGTGGGACTCAGAAGACCCACCAAACTCATTACACACACGGCACCAGCAGGTAACAACGGTTCAGGCTGGATTTGAACCGGTGACCTAGTGGTTATCCTATTCTCCATCACCTGCCGCATCCAGCACCACTAGGGACCCAGGTTGTGTTTGTGGAGGGAGCCTGCCATGGCCCAGTGGCACCCACCGCCAAGCAGTGACACACCGAGGAGGGAGTCAGGCAGACAGACAGACTGAGAGAGGGTTCCCCTCTTCCCACAGGACTTCTCAGACCCAGCGCTGGTGCTCTTTGAGGCCAAGGACTTCCAGGATGGGCCCAGTGTGGAGCTAAGCGAAGCGCTGCCCGACGTGGAGCTGGCCAGCTATGGAATCACAACCCAGTCCATCCACGTGCTGAGTGGAGTGTGAGAGCCCTGGGGAAGGGCGGGGTGAGGCTGCACTGTGGGGTGCGGGGGCGGCGGGGACAGTGCTGTAACAGGGAACGAGGGAGACAGCTTCAATATAGAAGAGGGGAAAGGAGTTTAGGGTCTTGGCAAATCCAGTGCTGGGTAACTTAGTGACCAGCAGGAACATTTGTGCTAAGGACTGGGGTAGGAATCCACATGCTTCAGGGCTGATCACCACTGGGGTAAGGAAGTAATACTCCCCCACGTGCAACACTGCATGATTGGCAGGGTGCATTGAGAGCTGGATGGGTGTCTAAGTCACCCTGTTCCATTTCTCTGGCCAGGTGGGTGGCTTATGAGAACACAAACTTCTCAGGCGAGCAGTACATCCTGGAGAAAGGAGTGTATCGGAACTGCGAAGACTGGGGAGCCAGTGACAGCCGGATCTCCTCAGTGCAACCTGTCCTCCAGGTGAGGGAGCCCTGTGTCTCCCCATACACCTGCCCCCTGTGAGGGAGCCCACATCACCCCAATTGCCTGCCCCTCTGGGCAAAAGAGTCGCACCCTGCCTTGCCCTTGCCCTTGCCCTGTGGCCAAGGGGTGTTAAAAAAAGAAGTCCTTCAATCCGTGTTCTTTGGGCTTGATTCTCTGTTGCCATCCGCCTTCCTGCTGTACAGGGAGCGCCAGCCAGAGGAGATGGCCCCGGGGCAATACACCCAGCACAGGGAGTATTGACCCTCCCGTGCTTGGTGTGGGGACAAAGTTGCTCCAAATCGGGGCCCTTTGCTCTGCAGCACACCATGGGAAGCCCCCTTGGGGCGTGAAGGGAACTGGTGTGGGGCATGTGCTCCTGGTGCAGGTGGTGGGAGATGTTAATGGGCGTTGCTGAGGCCCCATCTGAGTGCAGTGCTCACCGCTGTGGGGTATTAGCCCCTGGCGCAGGTGGGGTGAGACAGTAACAGGTGTGGCTTGTTTTCTTCCAGGTCGCGGAGCACAGTCTGCATATTGTCTCCAGGGTAAGAGGTGGGATCCTGTGGAGTGGGGTTGTAATTTGTCTCTCTCCTTTCTGCCAGGCCCATCCCCTGGGGTCTGGGTGCCTCTGGTAATGGGATGTCATTGGGAGCGGACGCTGGTTTGGTGGGGGTGTTAAGATCACTGTGGCCTCTGCCAGCTCGGTGCTGGGTTCGACGCACGAGCTTGAGCTGCTGGGGGATGCCGCCTCGCGAGGTGCCACGAGCTGCCTGCTGGAGAAGTCGCATGTATCCCTCCCTGGGTCCCATCTCCATTAACACTCCCCCAGCCCCGACCCCGTGCCCTGCTGACCCAGTTCATTCAGTTTCACTCCTGGGTTTCTCCAGATCCAGCTGTTCTCAGATCCCAATTACCTCGGTGATCACATCTCCTTTGAGGACGATCAGGTTTCCCTGCCGGAGGCCTTCACTCCCCAGTCCTGCAGGGTCCACGGAGGCAGGTAACGCGTCCATCAGGCCAGCCAGAGCTGCCGCACATGCTCTGAGCCACGGGCCATATTTACTAAGCAGGGGCTGCTGAGCTGGCGTTGAAATGCTGGCGGCCGCACGAACCTCCCAGAGCTCTGGCGGGGTGATTGGGAACATGGGAGATCATGCCAGGAACCCCTAGGGGCTGTGCCCCAGCAGGCTCTTTGGGGAGTTGAAGAGCAGGGTCTTCTGTTCTGGATTTGTGGGGATGGGTCCTGTGTGTTTGGCAAGTGGGCTGGGAAGCACATGAGCTCTTGAGGGTTGGGGTGGGGAGGATCTGGACGGGAGTTGCAGGGGACTGCCAGTTCCCAGGAGGAAGGACCTGGGGGCTGGTAGGTTCAGGAGGAAGGCAGGTGTCTTGCAGGTTTGATAGAGGCATGGCAGGGCTGTGTGCTGGGGAAGAGGTGGGGAGGAGGGAGTGAGGTTCCCTGTGTTTGGAGGGGGCTGCAGGGAGTTCCTCTCACTGGTACATAAGTGTGGAGGAGGGTTTGGGAAGAGCCCAGGGAGCCTGCACCCCAGTCCCCTGCCTGCCCCGAAGGCCCCTGGGGACAGAATCATTCCTGTGGGTGCATCTCACTTCCAGCTGGATTCTCTATGACGGCTGGGAGTTCAAGGGGGAACAGCACATTCTATCGGACGGCGAGTATCCGACGCTCACCGCCATGGGCTGCGTCTCGTCCACGGTCACCCGGTCGCTGAAGAAGGTCCCAATTGTAAGTATTTCAAATCCCAATGCTGCCTCCTCATCCCCCTTAGCAGTTTCTTGGCTTTGCCTGCGTATCGCCATGTGTATCCTCCCTGCCTGCCCCATCCTGCCCCATCGCTGCTTCCATCCCTTTCCCCTTTCCCTGCAGTTTTTCTCGGAGCCCTCGATCTTCCTCCATGGGCTGGAGCGTTTTGAAGGGAAGGAGATAGAGCTGACGAGCGAAGTGCGGAGCCTGCAGGCCGAGGGCTTCAATAACCACGTGCTGTCTGTGCGCGTGAAAGGCGGGATGTAAGTGAACGAACTTCCCCCGGCATACACCAAGAATAGGGGCCAGCGACCTCCCAGGGGGCCCCTCTGACATCCAGAAATAGTGATCCATCTGGATAAACCAGGAAGAGTGCCCAGCAGTGACCTTCCGCCCACTGGGTGTGCATCCATCACAACCAGCAGTACCGTACCCCACAATACGTCCTGAGTACTGCTCAGTCGTGACCCACCTCGGATTTCCGTCACCCCACAGCAATAGGGAACGGTAGCCACCTTTCTGTGATGCCTGACACGTACCCAGGACAGTGACCGATAGTGATTCTCTTTGGACCCGTGTCACATAGAGGGAAGTATCCAGATGCTGAGGGAACCACTCCACACGACGCTCAGAGCCGCGGGGAAAGCCCTGCCTCCCTCCTGACGGCTGTGACCAGCTCCTGAGCCCTGGGCAGTCAGACCCAACCTGTGCCAGAGCCCAGCCCACAGCTGACACTATGAGCCTGGTCACCGCTGCCCCAGGCCAGCCAGGCTGGGGAAGCCTCTCCCAGGTCTCCCCTTCACAATGTGCTGTGGGAAAGGACTCAGCACCCCCTCTGTGGCTCCTCCCCAGAGCCAGAACCCGCACAGACCCGTTCTGTTTGCTTCTCCCCATCTGACCCCACTGGGATGCCAGCCAATCAGACCGTCAGCTACGCAGGTGTGTTTTGGCTCCGTCCCCGGGCTGGCAGGAAGCCAGGCTGTGCAGCTTCCAGGCCCAAACAACAGGTTGACAAACACTCCCAGGTGGCTCAGCCCTGCCCCAGTTGTGGAAGAACATGAAGGTTAAAGAATAACTTGAAACACACAAGCCTGGACATTTCCCCAGGTAACACCCTCTGGGTGTTAACTCAGAGCAGGCTGGCCTTGAATTAAAAGTGGGATGAAATATTCCTGGAGACCCCTTTTCAAACAAGCTTAGCTCCCAGAGGCCGGGTGCTGAGTGCAGATTTTGCTGCTGTCAATCCGTGCATTTAGTTATAGAAAAATAGCTCGTAATAGGGAAGTTGAGCTTCTTGCCCCAGGTGACACACCGATCTCGTAATTGGACCCAGGAGCCCTGATTTCTAATCCCCTCCTGTAACAGTTAGACCGTGCTCCCTCTAAGAGCTGGGGAGAAAAACCAAGAGTCCTGACTCCAAGTCCCTTGCTATCCACGCTGCTTCCCAATCGAGCACAGAGTTTGGTGGGGTCTCTAGGGCAGTGGTTCTCAAACTGTGGGTTGGGACCCCAAAGTGGGTCGCAACTCTGTTTTAATGGGGTTGCCAGGGCTGGCTTAGACTTGCTGGGGCCTGGGGCTGAAGCTGAAGCCTGAGCCCCACCGCCCAGGGCTGAAGCCTGAGCCCGAGGGCACCCTGGGTGTCAGGGCTCAGGATACAGGCTCCTTGCCCAGAGCTGAAGCCCTTGGGCTTCGGCTTTGGCACCCCTGCTCGGGGTAGCAGGGCTCAGGCTTCGGCCCCCTCTCCTGGGGTGGTGCAGTCATTTCTGTTGTCAGAAGGGGATCGTGGTTCAATGAAGTTTGAGAACCCCTGCACTAGGGCGACACCCCTCCGGGCCTGTGCACTCTTTGGAGCATTCTTCCGCACGGGGAAGGTAACAGAATGTCTTTGCTCCCTCTCCCCTCCCCCAAGATGGGTGCTGTGTGAACACAGCAACTTCCGAGGCCGCCAGTGGCTGCTGGACTCTACAGAGATCACCAACTGGCTGACCTACAGCGGGCTTCAGCACATAGGCTCCCTCTACCCCATCAGGCAGGTGAGTGCTGGGCACCAAACTTCCCTTACTGCTATATGTGCTGGAAGCAGGGGAAAACTGACAGGGAGTCCTCTGCTCTTTCCTAGCCCACCTTCTCAACGGGGGAGTAACAGAAGTGATGCTAACAGCCATGTGTCACCAGCACAACCCACCCTGTTCCTACTGAGCTGACAACTTTGCCAGAGGGCTGTTCCCTCTCTGTCTGGGCCAGGAGCCCAGGGGACTGAGAGCATGTGCTTAGATTACTGGGAGTGCATGAAGATGTCCTGGGATTTACTGGGACACAGTGGGAATTCAGTGGGGTTTGCTGGAGATTCCGAGTTACACTCAGTGGATAGAGCTGGTATAGGAAGGCTTGGCCAAGGGTACATCTACACTCGAGCTGGAGTAGACGGATGTGCACTAGTCTGGGGATTTGATCAGCTGGTGCTGAGGACATCTGGAGCTGCAAGAGGAAGGGACGGGGCAATACACTTATTCTATATGTTGTATGCCATGGTCAGAACTTCATAGCAACTGCAGGAATAAAACTCAGCTCTTCCTGCTCCTAAAGCCGAGCACTTTCCCCCTCGAGCTAAAGGAGGATTTCCATTAGCTGTTAGTAGTATGGAGCTTATGACACATTTTGGAGCAGTTCTGATTCAATCCAGTAGAGGGCAGTGGTGCACAGGGCCACTAGCCGGCTTCTCCTTACACTAGCCAGCTCTTTATACTCACTTATGAACAGACCCAAGTGTCACGGAGTCCCTGGGCGATGCTCTGGAACTGCTCCCCATGAAGCCAGTCAGGACTCTGGGGCAGTCGCCTTTCTGTGAGCAGCCTGTCTTCAGGACACGCAGCTCACTCAGCTTCCACCTTCCTGGGTCTGACCTCGGAGCATTCAGCATCCTCTGCCCCTCCGTGCGCTTCCCACAGCGAGTCCGCTCAGGCGGGGCTCCTGGGGAAGCCAGAGGGTCCTGCACCCCAACTTCGCAGTCAGACGTGACTCTCAGCCAGCCTGTAAAACAGAAGGTTTATTAGATGACAGGAACATGGTCTAACACAGAGCTTGCAGGTGCAGAGAACGGGACCCCTCAGCTGGGTCCATTTTGGGGGGCAGTGAGCCAGACAACCACGTCTGCACCTCACTCCATGTCCCAGCCAGCCCCAAACTGAAACCCCCTCCAGCCCCTCCTCCTCTGGGCTTTGTTCCTTTCCCGGGCCAGGTGGTCACCTGATTCCTTTGTTCTCCAACCCTTCAGCTCTCACCTTGCAGGGGGGGAAGGGCCCAGGCCATCAGTTGCCAGGAAACAGGGTGTTGGCCATTCTCTGTGTCCAGACTCCTGCACACACCTGCCCTCTAGGGCTCTGCAATGATCATACACCCTTACTCCACCCCCTAGATACTTAAGAACTGCATAGGGGAAACTGAGGCACCCCCACACTATTCAGAGGAAACATTAAGAACAGTCCCACTTCGTCACACCAAGCCATGTAATTGCTGCTCTGTACCAGAAGGAGGGTGGCCATTGTGAGTGATGCTGTGAAATGGGGCAGCAGAAGCTCATGGTTTGTCTCCTTCCAGAGACGGATCTACTTCCGGATAAAAAACGCGGAGCTGCAGTTCTTCCTCTCTGTCCCAGATGACGTTGAGGACATGAAAGCAGGACGCGTGGTGGTCTCGGACCTGAGTGACCAGAGCAGCTCCATCTGGTACTACGAGGAGGGGCTCATCAAAAACCAGGTCAGGACTGGCCCCTGCGTGTGGGTGACTGGAGACTCGGGGGGGGGGGGGGGGGGGGACTCATGGGGATGTCACCAGCCCTGGATTGCATGGGTCATAGGCTGCTTGAGATGGGCCCAAAGCAGAACCCCAGATCGACACCCCACGACCCAGGTTCAATCCCCAGGTTCAATCCCTGCTGCATGTGCATACAGCTGTGAGTGGTTACCGTGGCAACCTTGTTAATCTCTCAACTATTCCCCCACCCGAACTGCCAGAGCTGGAGGGATTGTTTGGGGCTGGTCCCCCTGGATCATGGCTCCCCAGGGAGGTGTGTTGTAATGGATCCATGCCAGGCAGGACTCACACCTGCGTACTCAGTTTCTGGGGTTACTCCCCAGCCCATTGGGGTGTGGGGCAGCCAGCAGAGAGCAGAGTGTGCCACTGGAAAAAGGCTCCCCCAGCACTGACGTCTCCCCTTCATCGGTTCCTCACTTGATATCGCAGGGAGGAATGTCCCTGGCACTTTGCACTGGACTTTGCCTGTCCCTTACGGCCATGGCAAGTCTGAGCTTGGAAGGCCTGAGCTGGGCATGGGAGGTAGCAGAGGGGCTGACTGGTTTGGCTGTTGCTGGTTTCAGGTTGCCCCCACCATGAGCCTGCAGGTGATTGGTCTGGCCGGGAAAGGCGCCAAGGTGGTGCTGTGGGCTGAGAGCCGAGTTCCCCGCCAGACCTGGAGAATCGATTCTTTTGGGCGGATCTGTAGCCAGATGTTTGAGGACATGATCCTGGATGTGAAAGGTGAGGCTTGGGCCTGCCCACCGTCTGAATTCAGGGGGGGAAGGAGGGCAGTTTCTCAGGTCCTCAATTCCACTCCCAAAATCTCTGGGCTTTGGCTGTGGCAGAGACAGCCCTGCCCAATGGGGATGGATCATTTCAGTGCTACGAAGGTTTTTGGGTGGAAAATTGTTTCTTCGAAAGGCGGGGCAGAGCGGGAAAACCCATGGCTTTTTACTTCCCCATTGGAGACTGGTCAGAGGAGAGGCTACATGGCCGAGTGGCAGAGCCCAAGGGGCAAAATAAGGGCACTAAGCTACCAAAGAGGCGATTTCTCAGCTCCTGTAAATAGTGACTAAAAGCACTGGGTCCTAGCTGGGAGATTGGCAGGGGGTGGAGGAGAGGGCGGGGAAGAGGGAGAAAGAAAATACCTCCTATCTTTTCCCCATCAGACTCTCCCCTCTCTCCATGCAGGGGGCAGATTGTATGACCGAGATCACGCCATCCTCTGGGACGTGGCTGAGGAAAGATCCACGCAGATCTGGGACATACAAGTGCTCTAAGAGCTTACATTCAGGCCTGGATCCTGTTGGAGGTGCCACCAAGTGCCCCCAGCTCTTCCCACGGTCTTTCTGGGTTATCAGGGTTCCTTGCAAACTGGTTCAGGGGTGCTGCTACCAGAAAGTATCCCCTGCCCTAGAATGGAGCCTGGACAGGCACATGTCTCTGCAGCCTCTCCTCTGCCCGCTGGCCATTCTAGGGTAGTGACTACTCCAGTTCAACCCTTCGTCAATTCCAGGGATTGCCTGGGAGTGGAGGTGGCACTGGCTGTCCTGTTTCAGCATTCAGGGGCTCATCAGGACCTACCTGAACTATAGTGAATCGCCTGTGAAGTGCCATGTGGTACCCGTGTGCACACGTGAGTGCCGTGCAATGGGCCATTTGGAGTCCTCAGGTGCCGAACCGGTTCTGGTGTGGCTGATTTGGGCTGTACACCAAAGACTGAAACACAGACTCCTGCCCCGTCATGGCTTCCTAAGCCCCTGTATTTATGTGTGTGTCAGATACGATCCCTTTTCTAACACCAGCTCTCTGACTGGGTGCTCGGTTTGTATCACCAGTCGCACGCTAACACACTCGTTGAGCTGGTCTCTGAGATGCTGCTCAATGGATGGACGTGAGACACTACGGCAGGGGTTCTCAAACTGGGGGTTATTACTTGGGGGGGTCGCGAGCTGTCAGCCTCCATCCCAAACCCCGCTTCGCCTTCAGCATTTATAATAGTGTTAAATATAAAAAGATGTGTTTTTTAATTTATAAGGGGGGTTGCACTCATATGCTAGCTGTGTGAAAGGGGTCACCAATACAAAAGTTTGAGAACCACTGCACTTGGGCCTTTCACACAAGGGAGGGATCATTGCACACACAACCAGCTGCACACCTTAACAACATGGGAGCAGCCGCCGCGCACGCCCTCTTGTGTCCAGAGTGGCAATTGCAGGGTACATCATTTGTTGCATTTCCAGCTAGCATCCATCACTGGGGAGTATTTCCTAGCTGAGCATCTTAAAGCACTTTATAAACATTAATGAACTAAGCCTCACCATCCCCTATGGGGTTAGTAGCTCCCAATTTACATTTGGGGCAACTGAGCTGTACAGAGGTGAAATGTCTTCCCCAAGGTCCCACAACAGACAGAGCTAGGAATAAAAATCTACTTTCCTGCTCCTATGCTGAGCACTAACCAGTGCTTCCAGGGTGCTGTTTATTAGCCTGCATGTGCTCTCCTCTGAACACTGTTTATTAAGTGTAGAGAATAAGCCCACCTGTCAATAAGGCATCTGTGTGTCATATGAAGCTCTGAGGAAGTCTCAGATTTTGCTCAGGGTGACGCCTCTCTGTCCCATTCAGTAGTTCTGGCCGAGCCCCTTGAATGACCCTAGTCTCTTCAGTGACTTGGCTGTTGCCCGGCACTTGTTTAGTTGCCGTCCCCACATCAGGTGATATTGACTCGCCCTCTAGCATGTCACGTAGTAGAACCTCACAGCAGATCTCCGATGAAGCTTCGACCTCCAACCCACAACAGGCTGCAGTGCAGTCTCCTTCACCGTCATTGGAGTAGCATCTTCATTCAGCTGGTCTGCACCGAAACCTGCATCACCAGCCTTAGACATTGAGCCTGACTGCTACAACCTTCACTGACTCCAACTTCAGTCTCCCTGGACCTGTGCAATTCCTGAATGTACTGTCCCAACTTCAGGTGCGGATCTGTGGCTTTCGCTGCTCAAGACTGCACTTGTATTATACAAACACACACTCTCTCTTTCATATACATTCATGCTCTGGGCCACACAAAGCACTAGAAAAGGCCCGCAGAGCACAATCCTGCAGTAACCAGGAGAGAGATGGGCTGCATGGGGTGGGGGAGGGTCTTTTCCACCTTTAATTTCTATGCTTGTATAAAATTTCACTTTATCTATAACAATAATACTGATACCTAGCTCTTCTATAGTGCTTTTCATCAGTAGATCTCAAAGCACTTTATAAAGGAGGTCAGTAGCAGTATCCCCATTTTACTTTACGATCAGAAACAGAGCAGACAAGCACGGTGGAAGGGAAAGTATTACACGCAGTCGCATGAGTACGTTTCCCCCCTGCCCCCAGAGATGGGTAGAGTTTATTCTTAGGGCAATGGATGCTTGTTGAGTTAATAAATAAACGCTCATTCTTGGGTTAGAAGAACACCGAAAAGAAAGCAGCAGCTTTTAAGACAAAGTGTAGGGCTACAATCCTGGATGGGCTGGGTTGTAGAATAATCCTCTCCTGCCCTGTTTTATTGTATTAATGCAGAATTCTCACCTCCATCATCAGCATTATTACCACTAGAGGTGAGCCAAATCCACCCTTCCTGACTCCTATTGGAGCTGGAGCTCTGGGCTGTTCCACATCTGGACCCAGATCTGAATTTTGGGGCTGAATTCTGCTCTAGCTACACTCGTACATTTCCTGATCACTCTCCAAGCTAACCCGTTTTAGGACAGGTCTATTTGCAGAGTTGCACCAGTCTAAGTAAAGATGTGATTTTTAAACTGACTTCGTTCAAAGGCTGTGTGGATACTCATTTCGTTTTAACCAGGCCTCCTTTGGTTTAGCTTAAATCGATCAGGGTGAGATCAAAATAAGCCACTTGCCAACTGAAATAAGAGTGTCTACACAGCCTTTTGCACCAGCTTCACAGTATCGGGGTAAAATCACAGCTGAAGTTAAAAGAAAAGGAGGACTTGTGGCACCTTAGAGACTAACAAATTTAGCTGAAGTTAAGGCACCTGGCTCGTGGAGACAAGCCCTTGATGTGTAGTTTCTTTATGGCTGCTGTACTCCCTCGTGACCTCTAGAGGCCACTCTTTGTTCACTAAGCATGTTGTGCAATAGTGCTGTGGATCTGGGGGGCGACAGGAAAGAGGTGTGCACGGCACAGTGTGGGTGCTATGGGGCTGGGAAGGGAGTTTCATTTGTTAGCTGCAATATTGCCCCTGTGCAGTCCCTACGAGCCAGACCCTCAGCTGGTGTAAATCAGCGTAGCTCAGTACAGCTGTGCTGGTTTACACCAGTCGAAGGTCTGGCCCTAAACTCTGAGGCATGTGAATGGACTTGAGTGCACAGCCCAGCACCAAGCTGAACAGCAGAAGCCATTTAAATCCCTGAGATGATGAGCTAACAGGTTCTTAAATGCCGGCTTCCCTGTTTCGCTGTAGATGGGTGGCCTCATCTTGCGAGGAGCTCGGACTCTCAACGGTCAGTGAGGTGATCCTGGGTCACTGTTCAGTCCCTAGCTTATGCTAGATTTCGAGTGAGCTGTGAATTGATTTTAATAGTTTGGAGACTCAACGGGTCATCAAGCTTCTGTTTGGTGTGCGGGCCTCAGCCCATCCTCTGCAAGTGCAAACACAGCGCCCCAGACACCTGGCATATGGTGAGGGGGGCCTCTCCTAACCACACGCCATATGCTAATACCAGAGGGATCCACATGATAGGAGGACCTAGGCAGATACAGCATCGGCCCAAACGCAGTGCTCCGGGCTCCTAGGGGCAGGGATCTTGGCCTCCTTGTGCACCCAAACCCGCAGCAACTAAACTGGGTGTGTGTGTGTGTGTGTGTGTGGAAATACTTTTAAAACGTCCATGGTTGGTGTGGGGTAAAGTTGGCCTTGATGAATGGCTTGAGAACATTACCCTCCCCCTGCTCCACACACCCCCCTCGCCCCCCAGTGTGCTGAGCCCTGGGATGAGAGAGCCATTGTTACACTTTGCAGCCAGGAAACCCCAGTCTATTTTAGTGGCCTGAGGCCACTCAAGCTGTGTTGCAACTTTTCACACACTGCTTGTATGCAGTCGTTACATAGGAAATGCTGTATTTAGGAGGGCAGTGGGTGTCAGCACCATCCTCTTGCAAACTAAAGATGAGCCCACGCTGCAGACGGCTGATGGAAAGCCAGGGCTGAACTGTTCTCACAGACAGGGGTGTTTGGAGCTGGGTTTGTTTCGGGCCCGCCTGTAAGGCAGGCAGCGTCCCATTCCATGTTTCTGCAGTCCAGGCAGGGATTTAGAGATGTTTTACGTACAAAACTTATACTGCTTTAATTAAACTACTGTACCTTGAAAGGCTCTCTTTTGGCCACGTCTAGGTGAGAAAGTTGTGCTGGTTTCCCTAAAGGTATGGGTTGAAACCGATTCGCTGAACTGGGACAGCCCCTGGGCGGACACACTTCTTCCACTGAAAAGTGTGGCTTGTTTTGGCTTAGCGTACATTGATTTGGAATCAAATTTAAGCTAAACCACAATAAGTCATTCTTAAACCAGTTTAGCGAGGTACACACAGGGATGGAGGGAAGCAGATGAACTAAACATTAGGCAGAGTTGCCTAACAGATGAAAGCACGGGCCTTGGACAGAGGAGCTAGGGAGTATTAATGTGATACAGGTTGTGTGTAGACAAGCTTTGAATGTTTCCTTAGCCCACCGGTCCAACGTCCCTTTCCCCTCTCATGTGATCTTCAGTCTAAGTTGCTTTTTCAGTGTTCTCTATTCCAAAGGGCCGGGAGAGGAGCAACAATGTGCCGAGCCCTGGTCTTCACACAAGGGCACACAAGTTTAACTAAAGGTGTGATTTTAAACCAGTTTAGTTACATGAGTACAAGCCCTGTGTGGATAATTCATTTAAGTCTGGCTTGTATTGCTCTAGCATGCATCAGTAAAGGTACAGGTGTAAATAAGCCGCTCTACCCAGCTTTAAACTGATATGTGTGGCCGTATAAGGGGTTGTCTGTGCTTAACTAGCTTGGTTTTGAAACTGATTTTAAGTAGATTGGCGCAAGGTTATGTGTAGATAAGGTTTTAGCCTCTCTGTCTGGGTTTGCACTGTCACCATGTCCAGAGGGTATTTATGTGAGGGTGAAATGGGCAACTGAAGAACGCTCAGGCCAAATTCATACCTGCTGTAATTTCACTGAACTCAGAGTGACCTCAGCTACATCTCTGGCCCTGTGTGTCTAGAGCAGTGGTTTTCAAACTGGGGTATGCAGACTCCTAGGGGTACACGAGCTCTCGTCAGGGGGTATGTGAGAAAAATCCTGTAATGGTGGACAATGCATTTTATTTCGTAAGATTTAGCAATCTAACCATAGGAATAGTACGACCCTATCTCAGGTGGGGGTATGTGGGGTATGACATTATTTGGAAAGGGGAACTCAGCCTAAAAGTTTAAAAACAACTGGTCTAGAGGAATTTGATTCAGCTTTGATTCAAAAGAAGATGATGACACACACTCGGCAGTAAGAAAGCTTGTCTTTCATTTTATTAGGTTGAGCTGGCTGCCACTCTGCAGGGATCAGAAAGACCCCAAAGCATTTATATTCACATTAATTTCTCAAAGCATCAGAACATGTCTTCATGGAATGGGGATTGCTGCCCACTGCTGGGTGGGGTGTCTCAGCACCAGGAGTTGATCTCTGTCTTCCAGTGGCTAGTCCTCGGGAACTTCAGATTAGTGCAATACATACACAAGCATGCAACAAAACACTCTTGTTGCAATCTCTGTCTCTTTGGAGAGGCCCATTCTGCACAGGAGCTGGTCAATCAATGGCAAGGCTCCTCAGGTGTTGCGGTGAGACATGCATCTGCCTATCCAATGCGATTCTAATGGGAAGCTCCATGCAAAGCTGGACTCTGCTGCCGGGATTCCATTGCAGTTGGTGGAATGAATGGCTCTGATGGGAAACAAGGAAAGAAGCCGATGGCTGCGAAGAAAAGGGCGCAGTGGGTGTGTTGCGGGAAGACTTCAGCTGGAGCCATAATGCTGGCTGGGTTACGCGGATTGGCAGGCTGCAGCAGGGTTGGCAGGCTCAGCAGAGATTGGCAGGCTCAGCAGAGAGGCTGAGATGGTGGCAGGCAGAAGGCAGCGTTGACATCTCTCTGGGGAGTGAAGTGCAGGGGGCTCATTTTGCTTGGAGGAAGTAAACTGCTGCCAAGGCAGACACCAGCAAAAGAGAAGGTGGCACACAGCAGGGTGTGCCCAGGCTGTGTCTGGGATTTTCGTGGTTCGGTTTACTTGTCGCAGTGGGTGTTCCCTGGAAGAGCAATCAGAAAGGCTATTAGAGTAAGGCAGTGGCCCTGTGTCATTCCCAGGCAGTCCCATGCTGAATAGCTGTGAGGATACTGGGCCTTCCTCATTCAGATCAAGATATTGTGACAAAGCTCTGTCCTTGCCTCCATGGGTCCCGCGTTTCCTGGAGGATTTTGCTAGCCTCAGAGGCTCACTGTGACCCTCCACGTAGCCCTTCTCTCTCTAGAGACAAGGGTCACAGTCTACTGAGCCATTTTCATCATAAGCCAGCGAGGGAGGTGAGGAGAAGTTATCCTTCCTTGCACAGTTTCTGTTGTCTCCCAGTCTCAGTGATTAATCAGGGGGCAAAGGTCGGGGGGGGGAGCCCGGGCCCACCCTCTACTCCGGGCTCCAGCCCAGGGACCCTAATAGCATCAACTATGGTAGCTGACCTTTTAGAAACATGACATGTACAATTCCCCCACAGCAGCCCTCACTTCCTCAAGGTCCACTTCACCCTTACCTCAGGGTCTCCTTCCTTGTGCCTGATATGGTGTGTACTACTCAGCCTCTCCAACAGCACAACTTCCTCCCACAGCTCCTGGCATGCACACCCACCTGACTAACTGGGAGGCTTTTAACTAGTTTCAGCCAGCCCCTGATTGGCTTCAGCTGTCCCAATCAACGTAGCCTTCTCCCTGCCTTCTGGAAAGTTCTTCATTGGCCCCAGGTGTCTTAATTGACCTGGAGCAGCTGCTATTTCACTTATCCTGGTACCATGGATTTGTTTAGCCTGGAGCTAATATATCTATCTCCCACTACTTTTCCATAGCCATCTGGCCTTGCCCCGTCACAATATGAATGTGGGATTTGCCATAATGGCTCTAACCGATTGGTCCTCATAACCCAGTATCCCACCTCTGGCCCTGAGCAGTGCCTGACACTTCAGAGAAAGGGATAAAGAACCTTAACAAACCTGAGCAATTGTGCAATGCTGCATAGGCAGTGGTGGGAGCTCCTTCCTGACCCCACCGGGCAACCAGCTTACGTCTTGAAGCATGAGTCTCGTTTATCCTGATCTCACCTTGCACGTGTTATTAATGGTCATAACAGCATCCGTACCATTTTAAAAGCCAGCCTCAGGTTGTGACTCTGGGACGTCATGTAGCAGAGACATACAGTTCCCTTGGTGAGGGATGTAGTCTGAGGCTGCGGGCAGAGTACCACCGTTCTCAGGTCCCACCCTACCCTAAGGGACAGTGTTAAAGAATCCTCAGTATCTTCCTCTCCTCATTCTGCTGCTTTACAATCTGTAAGCAATCAGTCCTCACCATAGGTACATAAGTGTCATTATCCCTGTTTCACAGAGGATGGAATTAAGGCACACAGGGGAAGTGACGTTCTCAATGCTACCAAGTGTCTGTGAGGGGCTCAGAACTCCCCCCATTCTAGCCATGTGCTCAGTCTAAGCCATGCTGCCTAGACCCACCCTGCTCTCTCTGCAGCTAGAACGTGTCCCAGCAGAATTCTAGTTGGGCCAGTTTGGCTCGAGAAGCGTCCTCTGTCCCAACCAGCAGAGCAGATATCTTGCTGAGGACCTGCAAGCCTCCCACACTGTGCAGCCAAGACCTCAAGGCTGTGGTTTCCAGTGCATAAAACAATTCCAGCCCTGAAACCAGCTTCCTGTTATGTAGCAGTTCTCCTTTTGCACACCCACAGTGCGCCTGACTGCAGAGGAAATCCAGAGAGAAGCAAGAGAGGTCATCAACAGACAGAGAAGAGCAAACTAGAGAAAGGAGAAATAGGAGAGACCTTCTGGATCACTCAGGAGCTTTGCCCCATCTACTCTGCAGCGATTCGGTTGTAGGAACTTCTACCACTTCTCTGTCAGACCAGCCCACTACATGGGAGCCTCGCTTATCTTTTCTGAGCCAGTTTCTCCTTTTTGTTACGTTGTTGTAAACCTGGAGCAAGTCATTGGGCACCCTCTCTGGAGCCCCTCTAGATTTGCACCAATGCAACTGGAAAATAATTTAGTTCTTTCTTCATTTTGTCCCATTATTTGTATGTATTATTCTCTGTAGGTTCTTATTCCATGCATGCCTGAGCGCCTCCTAGCAGTACAGTGAGTGACATGATTACCATCTGTCACGTGGTGTTTGTTCTCGTATCTCGTCTAGCGAAACACTCTTGGAAAGTGGGGGGGGGGGCGGTGGACGAGGAACCCATGTACCTGCCACCCAGAGGTCAGGGGGAACTCCGGCAACAGCAATGGCTGTGGAACTAGACCATGACATGGGAAGAGACCCAGTGATCATAAAAAAGCAGGGCTGGAAGAGACCTTAGGAGGCCATCTAGTTCAGCTCCCCCTGCTCCCACCTCACTGAGGCAGGCTGGGAATGATGAGCTCAGCTGCAGGGAAAATATCACACTGAGAGGAACCCGAGCACGGGGAAAACAATGGGAAAGGAAGGGCCTGCTTTTTCCAAGGAGGAACATCAAAACTACCTGACTCTATCAGACTAGGGGCAATTTAGCCAAGGCTCTAACAGTGGCCAGTCCCAGCTGCTTCAGAGGAAGGTGCAAGAAACCCTGCCGTAGGCAGGTCGTCCATAGAGAAAGTTTCTTCTGAACCCCCATTAGTTAATGGCTGACTTATGTCCTGGAGCATGAACTCTATTTCTCTTAGGTACTCATCTGGTCCCACTACTGGAGAGCCTTGCATAGGGGTGGGCAAACTTTTTGGCCCGAGGGCCACATCGGGGAATAGAAATTGTGTGGCAGGCCGTGAATGCTCACAAAATTGGGGTTGAGATGCGGGAGGGGGTGTGGGCTCTGGGGTGAGGCTGGGGATGAGGAGTTTGGGGTGTAGGAGGGTGCTCCGGGCTGGGACTGAGGGGTTCGGAGGACGGGAGGGAGATCATGGCTGAGGCAGGGGTGCAGGAAGGGGTGCAGGTTCCGGCTGGGGGTTTGGAGAGCGGGAGGGGGATCACAGCTGGGGCAGGGAGTTGGGGAGAGGCTCAAGGGTTGCAGGCTCCAAGCAGCGCTTAGCTCACACTGCTCCCGGAATCTGTGCCATGTCCCTTCTCTGGCTACCATTGGAGTGCACAGGAGCCGGAGCGGGACCATTCCGCGGCTTCCAGGAGCCACGTGCGGCCCCTGACCCAGTGCCCCGGCTGGAGTGGGACTGAGCTGCATGATGCAGCCCCTGACCCAGCGCCCCGACCAGAGTGGGGCAGAGCCGCGTGGTCCAGCCCCCAGCCCAACTGTCACGAAGTCCCCGGGCAATGCTCTGGAACTGCTCCCCAGGAAGCCAGTCAGGACTCTGGGGAAGTCTCCTTTCTGTGAGCAGCCTGTCTTCAGGACACACAGCTCACACAGCTTCCACCTTCCTGGGTCTGACCTCGGAGCATTCGGCATCCTCTGCCCCTCCGTGTGCTTCCCACAGCGAGTCCGCCCAGGCGGGCTCCTGGGGAAGCTAGAGGATCCTGCCCCCCAACTCCGCAGTCAGACGTGACTCTCAACCAGCCAGTAAAACAGAGGTTTATTAGACGACAGGAACATGGTCTAAAACAGAGCTTGTAGGTGCAGAGAACAGGACCCCTCAGCTGGGTCCATTTTGGGGGGCAGTGAGCCAGACAACCACGTCTGCACTTCACTCCATGTCCCCAGCCAGCCCCAAACTGACTCACTCTCCAGCCCCCCCTCCTCTGGGCTTTGTCCCTTTCCCAGGCCAGGAGGGCACCTGATTCCTTTGTTCCCCAACCCTTTAGCTGTCACCTTGCAGGAGGAAAGAGCCAGGCCATCAGTTGGCAGGAAACAGGGTGTTGGCCATTCTCTGTGTCCAGATCCCTGCACAAACCTGCCCTCTAGGGCTCTGCAACGATCATACACCCTTATCCCACCACCTAGATACTTAAGAACTGCATAGGGGAAACTGAGGCACCCCTACACTATTCAGAGGAAACATTAAGAACAGTCCCACTTCGTCACACCAACGCCCCAGCTGGAGTGCTGGAGCAGGGCCGAGCCGCATGCTGTGGCTTGCGAGCTGTAGTTTGCCCTCCCCGACCTACTTGCATAGACAATAAGACTCCAATCCCGCAATTTACAAAGGGTGGGCGGAGGCTTGCACCCGCACTGAGTGCTGGAGGGATGGCTCAGTGGTTTGAGCATTGGCCTGCTAAACCCAGGGTTATGAGTTCAATCCTTGCGGGGGCCATGTAGGGATCTGAGGCAAAAATTGAGGATTGGTCCTGCTTTGAGCAGGGGGTTGGACAAGATGATCTCCTGAGGTCCCTTCCAACTCTGATATTCCATGAAGTCAGCGGGGCTCTGGGAGGCTGCAGGGATCTGTCAATGTGCAAAAAATTACAGGATTGGGGGGGGGCCTTAGACGAAATGAGCAGCTGAGCCCAAATCCGTATTATTATTTTTGATTAGTCACTGTCTACACCCGCAAATACAGGGATTTGCATTGCAGCCTGTTGATTTATTCAGTTTATCCACTGCCTAGTCACCCCTCTAGGCACCTCTCAGCATTTTAAACTGATCGTTAAATATCTCACATGGAGCCATACAGTATTTCATTTGAAATTTCCACTAATTCAAATACCATTGAGAGATTCTCCCACCAAAGAAAAACACTGATCCTTTTATTCAGCTGTAACATGAGCCCCTGCTCAGCCCCTCTGCCTATAAACCCCCAACCTCCTTAACAGCCTACCAGAAGACATGGGCTTCACGGCATGCCTGAAAAATTAATAGATCCGGGCTCTGGGAGGTCACAGTTTAACTTAGTTACGAATGATCTGGAGAAGGGGTTGAGCAAGGAGGTGGCAAAATTGATGGGTGACATGGAGGGTGGGCCACCCTATCTCTAGAAAGATACGTGAACAGAGTGGGTCTAGAAACCGAAGACAAAAATTACTTAGATAGCTGGAAAGACCTCCCTCCTTGTGAGGAGAGATTGAAAGGCCTGGGATTGTTTAGTTTACAGATGCAGGGGGCCGGCAAAGGGAGAGATTGGGGATTGATATGGGGATAAAAGCACCTCACTGGGGTGTTGTGAGGATAAATACGTTAAAGATGATGACAGGTTTCAGAGTAGCAGCCGTGTTAGTCTGTATTCGCAAAAAGAAAAGGAGGACTTGTGGCACCTTAGAGACTAACAAATTTATCTGAGCATAAGCTTTCATGAGCTACAGCTCATTTCATCGGATGATTCATCGGATGATTCACTTCAAAGATGATGAGACACTCAGATGCTACGGTAATGAGGGACAGAGACATACCATAGATAGATGATTATTTGTACCGCACCTAGCACAATGGGCAAAGCATTAAGTGCTATGGTAAGACAAATAATAAGTAACATCTATGGGTGGGGTTGGAAGGAGAGAAATTAAGATATAAACAATACTGGTAAATAAAATGTCTTTTTAAAACTCATGTGATGCTCATATACTATGGGGGTGAGCATGGTGTAAAAACCAGATTGAATTAGATTAAGGTAAAACATAGATTAAAAAGATAAAATAAAATAGGATGACAGAGACAAATGGACACGGGTCAGTTGCCCCAGCACCCAGCCTCATTTAGCTGATCAGGGCTCAGCTGACCCAATTGTGGTTTTGGTGGAATTTGGTCTCCACCTGAACCATTTGGGCTGGTCTTACCGTTTCAGCAGAAGTTAAAGGCATCAAGAGAAGAGCAGTGACAAGCAGGACAGTCTTCATGTTAAACCTCTATGAGTGAGATGCAACGTGTGCAAGGAAGCGTCCTCTTCTGCCCACACCAGAACAGAAACAGAAGCTTTAAGTTTGCCTGTTGAGAAGCAGAGAGCTCTCACCAATCAAACCCCTTGCAGCCTCCCTGACATGCCTTACTTGGGCTGCTGTTCAGAGTGCATTTACCGCTACAATGAAGTTGCCCTTAAAATTTAAAACATTTATTTTCTGATCATGACACCCCCAATATCCCCCCCTTCCCAAAACCAGGATAGTAGCATTAATAAAATCACAGCTTCTCAGCATGGGCAATTCATCAACCAAAATTAAAACTAGCCATGGGGTTCATGTACCAGTGGCTCAAGCGGACATTCCGAACTTGCACATCTGGATTTGGAGAGGCGACTGGCAGCTAGTTGGGTTTGTTTCTGTGCAGCGTGGTGGTGGTGCTTATCAGGGGGCTGGTTAAGAGGCTTTGGGCATCTGGAGGGCTTGGGTTGACTCTCTTGCAGATATGCCAAACCCTTGAAAAAACCGCAGAAATTGGGCTTGTTTTTGGCTTAATTGGCTTGTGAGTTGCTTGTTGGCTAGTTTTCGGCTTGTAGCTTTTTGCTTGTTTGGCCTGTAGCTTGTTGTAGCATGTTGTAGCTTGTTGCTTCTTTTTTCTGATCGGCTCCCAGCAAGCAGAGGCAAGGGACGGCAAGCCAGGGATAAGGGGGGAAGAGAGTTGGGGTGCACAGTGGGCCCACCACAGTCCCAGATTGCACGCTGCAGGGATCTAGACACATAGAGTGTTGGGGTTCTTAGGGATTGGCTTGTTTTGGCCTTGTTTTGAAATGGGATTAGCTTGATTTTTGGCTTATTATGAAAGTCAGGGTGCTTATTTACTGCATGAAAGTTGGTAACTGTGCTCTCTTGATACTGCAAGAAGGAGCAACAGAAGAGTTTCGCATCTGGGACGGGGGTTCTGCAGGGATCCCAGATCACAAGGCTCTTCAGGCCAGTTTGTCAGTCTTTTCTTTTCCCTACATTTCAGGAAGTGCATGGTTCTCAAAGCACAGGGCCACACGGCGCTGACAATGGCTTGGAGAGGATGGGGGTGAATCTATACTTAAGTGTTGATTCCCCCACTCTCATGCTCAAATTTTTCTAGAAACCTCAAAACATTCAAAACTGCCACCTATCTCCTAGGCCTCAGGTGACAAAATCAGAGTTTTGCCGTTTTCTCCTAAAATCATAAATCAGCTCAGGCTCACTGGGATGTTTGCAAACATCAGCCAAACTTTCAGCTAAACTGGCCTGAATTTCCGGTTTGTTAACTAAGCCTCTTATTTTTCAACTGAAAAGTAGAAATAGATTCAACTGGAAAATTCAGATCTAAACTGCGAGCCCACAACGTTCAGTGGTGCTTTGATCTGGGGTGAGGGATAGTTCAGTCCCATCTCTCTTAAAAACATTTAAAAGTATATTTTGAAGCTTGCTCATGATGAAAAGCATTTCCTAACTCATGAATTTGGACTGTTGTACTGAGCTACAGATACCACGGGAAGGAGCATCATTATCTAGAAAGATGATAGATGAGATTAGACAGAGCATAATAACATTTCCTTTTAAATGTCAGTAATATCTATTCAAAGCCAATAAGCTTCATCCTGAGTTTACACCAGTTTCACCAGTTTTACACCAGGGTAACGCCACTGACTTAGGTGGATTTACTCCCGATTCACACTTGTCCAAGAAAGAAGAATTAGGCCCAGCCTGTTTTGTGCCTTTTTAAGGCAGCTTGAAAAAAGTAATTGACCAAAATATTTCAGATAAAACACACCCACTGGATTTCTTTGTGCGTATGAAATGTATCAGATTCTGGAAAGGGAAAGATTTAACATACAATATCTGAAAGAAACAGAAAATGCAGAAGCTTGTGCTTTAGCTGTTTTAGATCTTTGTTGACGGTTTCCATCAGCAGAAGAGTTGAAATGAAAGTCTGTTGGTGGAGGTTACCAGACCGTGAAAGGGTAATTCTCAGCACGTTTCAAATTCAGCAGGCCAGATCCTGAGCTGTTGTCAATTGTTGGCATAGCTTCAATGGAAGATCTTTTCCCAAAAAATACGTCAGAGAAGGGTTCCCCAGAAATGGCATGATGACAACCAAACAGCTGTCTTGGATATTTCAAAGATTTTGTTTATAGAAAAAAGAAAAGGAGCACTTGTGGCACCTTAAAGACTAACAAATTTATTTGAGCATAAGCTTTCGTGAGCTACAGCTCACTTCATCGGATGCATCCCTTTTCTTTTTGTGAATACAGACGAACACGGCTGCTACTCCGAAACCTTTGTTTATAGAGTTTTTCAAATGTTACACAGACAAAACAAGCTGTGTGGATCAGAGAAGGAACACAGGAAGAAAGAAACAGTCAAAAAAAAAAAAAGTGAGAGGGAGAAAAAACTATGAAAATACAACTAAAAAGGTATCTTCATGACCCCCACGGATCTGTTTGTGGATAAGGGAGGGAGTGCAAATCCATTGACATAAACCTTGAATGATCAGTTCATAAAGTTGAAAACTGTCAGCAGTGGGTTTTTTTTAACAGATTCTAAAAAAGAATAATTTCTAAGTTAAAGCTCATGAGTAAAATCTGACACTTACTGGTGGGAGATGTGGGGAAATGGAACAATAGCAACAAAAAAGCATTGCCAACCCCTACATTCATAAATCATGAGTCAGGCCACCCAAAATCATGAGACTGACTTAAAAATCATGGGAGTTTTAGAACAATAAATTTTGTATCCTTTTTATTTGCATTCTGGTTTTGTAGCTTTTTAGGGTTCATCTTTTCTCCACAATCACGAGGGCTGGAATCTCTGTATTTTGTTTAAAAAAATACCGAAATTGTGAGACTTTCAAGAACACTGCAAGAGTTGGCAATTCTTAATGCTTAAAGCACAGGACCAGACCAGAGGTGATCTGGGTTCTGGTGTGCGGCATGACCTTGGGCAAGTTGCTTTCCCTCTGTGTGCCTCAGTGTTATCATCTGTACAGTGGGGAAAGTATTGCTTCCCTGGGGTGGGTTGTGAAGATTAACCCTCTGACATACCTGAGGCTCAGAAAAGCCTATACACAGAACAGCATGCAGCTGTCCCATGAGCCATCCTGTGGGCACAGGGTAAGTGTCGAGCTGGGGAGGAATGCCTGCTGGAGCAGTGCGTCTCCTAGGATGGCACACAGACTCATAGGACCTCAGGGTTGGAAGAGACCTCAGGAGGTCATCTTGTCCAACCCCCTGCTCAAAGCAGGGCCAATCCCCAATTTTTGCCCCCGATCCCTAAACGGCCCCCTCAAGGATTGAGCTCACAACCCTGGGTTTAGCAGGCCAATGCTCAAACCCCTGAGCTATCCCTCCCCCCCATGCTGCAGTACACAGGGCGACGAGGGAATTAGCCAGGAGCCCGGGCCGGCTGTGGGGGGTCACAGCAGGCTCACAAGTGGGAGCCCTGCCACAGTCCTTGGGCATGGGGATCCCTGGGCTTGGCCCCATTAACATGGGCGGGGGGGGTTAATGCCTCCTCCATGCCCCTATATCCCATCAGGGGGAGGCGTCAATTCCCTGCCCCTCTCCCCAGCTCCTGCTCAGACCCATGAGCATGGGGGGGGTTTGCAGGACACCCGAGCGTTGCATGCTGGGACTAGTGGTCGACCCACGGGACTTTCGCGGAGCCAATCATCTGGCCCGGCCGTAACCGGGGCAACCGCGGCAAACAAGATGGCGTCGCGTGGGCCGAGCCCGACGGCGGGAGAGTGAGTCCGTTAAAAGCCCGCGCCCCTCGGGGCTGGGAGCCGCGGGGGGGGAGGCTCCTCAGGCCGGGCTGGGCCGACCACGGCGGCTCCGCGGGGCCCTCAGTGCGGTGGGGGGGGGCGCGACGACGGGCCCAGGGATGCCCAAAGCCGTTGGGTTGCGTGGTGACGCCTTATGAGGCCATTGGGTGGCACGTTGTGAGGTCACCGTGTTGCGCGGGGACCCCGCCTGAAGTCATCGCCTTGCACGGTGGCCGTTGGTGATGTCATAGTGATGTCATAGCCTTGCATGAGGATCTCCCCCTCCCTCCCCCCCCCCGCCCCGGCATTGCGCTGTGGTGACTTGTGAAGTTATCGCGGTGCGCACTGATGACATGCGGGGGGCTTGACCCGGTGAGCTGACTTTTTGAGGCACAATCAGTACGTCCGCGCTGGTGCGGTGACGGAAGGTCACGATGCTTGAGTTGGTCCCTCCACAGCAACCCCAGGGAAAGTGGCAGCCTTCGCCTGAGGGCTGCACCCAGCTGGCATGAAACGGAGCAGATTGTGGGGCAGATTGTGAAGCAGATTGTGGTTTTTCACCTGGAGGCTGCAGCCGGTGTGAAGACCACAGGGCCCACAATGAAGTGCTTGACATCATTTCTATGGGTCTGTCTAAGCAGCAAAGAAAAACCTGCCACTGGCTAGCCAACTTGGGCTTGCAGGGCTGTTTCATTGCTGTGTAGATTTCTGGACTTGGGCTGGAGCCTGGGCTGTACGACCCTGCGGGGTGGGAGGGTCCCAGAGCTCGGCCTCCAGCCTGAGGTCATAAGTCTACACAGCAATGAAAAAGCCCCGCAGCCCCATCTTCATGAGCCAGAGTCAACTGGTACAGGCCAGCAGCGGGTTTTTCTTTGCTGTGTAGACATATCCTATGGGACCCCACAGGCAAAAGAGACCCCAGCATGAAATGCACCCTTTGCTCCAAGCAGCATGGCTGGACCTGAATCCTCTGCGAGGCTCCCTGCTCTGTATGAAAGACGAAGGGTCAGGCTTTTAACTCCGTGGTCTGCCCTAAGACCAACCTGCTCTGAGGGAAACCTCTACAATGTGTGATGATAAAATACATCCTGGGGTCATCCGTGTGCCTCAATCTTGTGTTCCAAGGCATTTCACTCTCAGTTTCATCTTGCAGCCTGGAATTGTAACACTGTCTTTGTTCCCTAGGATCTAGAGCTGTCTAAGGTATAAACCATGAGTTCTCCTCTTTCCTCCCTGGGGAAGCACCGCAGAGTCCCGCTGCAGAGTCCAGGGTAAATGAGACATGAGGACTCTTCCTTGCGTTGTCTTGTTGCCATCTTTGCTTATTTGTGAAATTTTGATATCAGCTGCTTCTCCTAACACTATAATCAAGGCATAAATGACAAATGCCTCAAGACCAGCAAACTCTCACTCCACACTATATACTTCACAGCTGTGTATGCTGCCTGGTATAAACTGGGAGGGTTCTTCTTTGGTCTTGATCTTTCAAGATGCTGGGTCCCTTCAGCTCCCATTGAAGTCAGTAGGATTTAAGGGTGGTCAGAACCACATTCTGCAGTCACTCAGCACCTTGCAGAATTGGGCCCTAAAAACCAGTATTTTGCCATCCCAAATCCAGCTGTGAGCCACCGTTCCGTGGTAGGGCCCTATATGAATCAGAATAGTCTGTGCAGTTATACTAGCAAGAATAACCTTGCTGGAGCTCTTGGTTCTATGGCAGGGGTGGGCAAACTATGGCCCATGGGATTGCCAGCCCTGGCTAAGGCAGGCTCCCTGCCTGCCCTGGCCCTGTGCTGCTCCCGAAAGCGGCCAGCACCATGTCCCTGCAGCCCCTGGGAGAGGGGAGTGGGAGCAGAGGGCTCTCTGCGCTGCCCTCGCTTGCAGGCACCGCCCTCCACAGCTCCCATTGGCCAAGAACGGGGAACTGCAACCAATGAGAGCTTTGGGGGAGGTTCGCGCAGGCAGGGGCCGCGTGTGGAGCCCCCCGCGCCCAGGGGCCGCAGAGACGTGGTGCCAGCCGCTTCCAGGAGTGGCGCGGGGCCAGGGCAGGCAGGGAACCTGCCTTAGCCCTACTGCGCACCACTGCCTCCACAGAGCCGCTCAAGGTAAGTGGCGCCGGGCTGGAGCCCGCACTCAGAACTCCTCCTGCACCCCTGCCCTGAGCCCCCTCCTGCAGCCATCTTGCACCCCAACCCCTTGCCCTGAGCCTCCTCCTGCACACTGCACCCCCTCCCATACCCCACACTTCCTCCCACATCCCAAACCCCTGACTTGAGCCCCATGCCACACCCCTCCTGCACCGCAACCCCCTGCCCTGAGCCCCCTGTTGTGCCCTGAGCCCCCTCCTGCATCGCAACCCCCTGTCCAGAGCCCCCTCCTGCACTCCCACCCCCTCCTGCACCCCAATCCCCTGCCCGGAGCCCCCTCTCCCACCCCTCCTACACCCCAACCCCCTGCCCTGAGCCCTCTCCCGCACTCCACACCCCTCCCTGCACCCCAACCCCCTGCTCTGAGCTCCCTTCCGCACTCTGCACCCCCTCCTGCACACCGCACTCCTTCCCGCACCTCAACCCCCTGCCCCAGCCCTACATTCATGGCCCTGCATGCAATTTCCCCACCCAGATGTGGCCCTCGGGCCAAAAAGTTTGCCCACCCCTGTTCTATGGCCTTGTGGTGCAAGCTGATCCCTAGCTGGGATCAGGAGGAATATTGTACAATTCTGCATAGCACGGTTGACCAGGTTTGTTGTTTGTCTTTCTTTTGCTTGTCCCTAGTGCAAAGCAGCTAAAGTTAGGTGTGGCTTCCTGTGATCTCAATTGCTGCTAGGCTGCTCTGAATTTGTTGTTTGTGTGTGAGCTCACTCAGCACACAAAGCAAGAGGGGGCTTGTTTGATTTGTTTCTGTGTAGTGAACTGGTGAGAAAGTATAGGTGGTTGCATTTTAAGAACATTTTTGATGTAATTTAGAAGTCTGTTATCCCTCAAACAAATTACCCAGCCGATAATTAATCTGTCTGCTGTTTGTTTTCTGTATTCCCTATTCTTATATGCAGGAAAAGGACAGTGCCATTTAAACTGAGTGCTTACAATGGTGAGTAAGGCCTTTCTCTTCCCTTTATGCGTTTTTTGCATTAAAGTGTTATGTGCTTAGTTCATTTTCTTGTCCTTGGTTTCTCTCTCCTTCCCACATCTGTCTTATATCAGATTAGTACAAATTAGTTTTCCCATCCCCAGGATTCTTTGGAACATGGTTAACTCTCTAAAATAATTTACAGTTCCAAATCAAGCTGCTTCCCTCATTTGTCCATGCTGTCACCTACACTCAGAACACCCTCCCTAATGCAGAGCAAATTGCGTCTTCCAAATCCCTCTTTGAAACTCCCCTCTTCTGTGAGGCTCACAGACACTAATCCTGGACAGTATTATGCTGTCGTCACCATTGTTCTAATGCGCAAACAGTCCCACCACTCACCTCTCTCACCCTCAGAAAAACATACTCTAAATTAGCACCATGGTCTGCTTCCCAGTATAGTTGTGTGTCCGATCATTGTCTGTCTGTTTAAAGTGTAAGCTCCTCAAGGTATGGACTGTATTGTCCTTTGAGTGTCATACTGTGCCGAGCACACTCTTGAAGCTTAATAATCATCACTTCGGAAGCCTTTGGGTGGGCGAGTGGGATTGTGCAACACCCTTTCCCCAACCCTCTCCTTCCCTGATGATACACCCCAGCATTATCCTCACAAGATTTTGGTGAGGCATCATCTAAAATGTGGACCTGGCCCTGCCTCTAATGCTTCTTTGCCTCTTTGATTCACAGAGGATGAAGCTGCGCTACTGAATGACATCCTGTCTCCTAGAACAAAGTTTCCAGTGCAAGACATTTCCCCTTCCTGCTCAAAGGGAACAGCAACAAAAACAAGTACCCATGGTAATGTCTCTGAAAGGACATTTGCTGCTGAGCCAGACACAGTGCTGGCATCAGGGTCGATAACCTTAATGGTCCATAGATGGTGCTTGATAAGTGAATCCAGCTACAGAGTCTGGTGCTCATTTCACATCCCTGAACACTTACTTACCCAGTGTGCCAGTTGGTGATCTAGGGATGCATGCACAGTGTCTGCTGCAAGGTCCATATCTACCTCTGTTACTTTGGCCAGGGACTTGCAGGATTTATACACGGTGCCCACAGGACATCCATTCATGCTGTCTGCAAGGGCTAATCCAGGATTCCTGCACTATGCTTTCAGCCCATGTAATGTGGCACTGGATGATCATAAGGGTTCCCCTTGGTCAATTTAAAATTATAATTCTGAAGGTGCTTTTTTGGGTGATGTGTTGTACTTGTGCTTATAGGGGCAGCTCCGACTGACATGGAGCTCATGTCCTCCATGATGCAAAAAATTGCTTTGTTGGAACAAAAAGCAAAGAGCCAAGCACAAGAAATCCAGCTGAAGGTAAAAATGCCAGCCTCATTTGGGCCCTGTCTGAACAGTTCTAGCCATGTTAGCCAGAACCAGATCACACCTAGTTTGGGCTAAAATGGTGTAATTATTCTTTAGACAAGGCAACTGCTAGGCCTGTATCTTACTAATTACAGAAACCACCCACTGTAGAGGCCCAGTTGCTGTTACCACACTGCAGTAAGGAACAGTCCCTGTAGTGATCCTAGGAAAAAATGAGCCCTAACACCTAATGTCATTGACTCTTCTGCTTTGGATGTTTCTTTTCTTCCTTCCATTTTATAATGTTTGAGTTGATAAGAAGGCCAGAGGTCTCACTGAAGCAGACACACCCGATAGAAATGGGAATGGATAGTACCCTGTTGGTGTTATAGACACTTTAGGGTAAATAGTGTTTCTAGTGGCTAGAAGATCAGGACTCCTGAGTTCTAACCCCAGATTTGCCATGTACTTACTACTGACTTAACTTTGAGCCACACCCTCAATGGGGGTAAGAAAGCATGAGCGCAACCTGCATAACTGGACTGTGTGTGAGAGGAGGAGCAACGATCATAGCGTCACTACTCCCCATCTCATGCAGGTGGGCAATGGATGGGCAGGCAGGGTGACTTGGTCCCTAGCCTACTTCTGGGACTGCGCAGTTATGTGCTATTCCCTTACTCGGGGCCTGTGGTAACTCCACAGTCCAGCCCTATGTGATCTTGGGACAGGCCGCACCCTTTCTAGACCTTACTTTGCCCATCCATAAAACAAGTGTAGTTAACCTACCTGGCTTCTGGGAGCAGAGTGGCTAAATCAGTCGGTATGTGAAAAGTGCTTTGAGATCCTCAGAGGAAAGGAACCAAGTGCAATCATTATTTTTGCCTTTTTTCTTGGATCTTCAGGCTAGAAAGGTTGCTGAACTTGAAAAGCAGGTGAAGATCCTTCAGAAAGGAAAAGGTAAATTGTTCTGTTCTTGGCACCCTCCTGTTTCCTGTGTGTGGCTTACATTCTCTTCAGGTGCGTTTACACTACCCACGTTATAGCGAGGCTGCTGCAGTGCCAAACGAGGGGCGGTAGCTTTTTCACTGTGCGTGCGGCTCCTGGCGATAAAGCACTGTCTCTACTGGCACTTTTAAGCCTAAAACTTTTGTCACTCGGGAGGGGGGTGTTTTTTCACACCCCGAACAACTAAAGTTTTAGAACTGAAAGTGGCAGTGTAGACACAGCCTTAGGCTCAGACCGTGCTCTTTTCCAGTACTGGGAGGTGCTGCTGTGGACCTCAGTACAGTCCTTTCCTTGGGGAAGCCCAGTTCCAGTACCCTGCCAAGGACAACTGTGAATTACAAACTCACCGCTTCATTTGCCAGGAGGTTTTCAGCTCATGCATACACCTGCTGCTGACTTTTAAGCTGCTGGTTTCTGGTGCAGCGCTCAGATGCCACAGTGACCTGCTTTCACTATGGTAAAGTGTTCCCACAAGACTGAGAACCTGAGCAGAAGATGGCCACGTAACCACTTGGTGTGTAGTAGTGGTCAGAAGAAACAAGGCTGGGAAGAGAGCAAACAAACCAGCGTTCAGATTTAAGCCGATTGAAGAAATAGGCCTTTTCCCAGCTAAATAAATCAAAAAGGCCTCTTACAGCCAAGGTTTACTGTGTGACTCAAAGGACTCTCACAGCCAAGGTTTCCCCTTGTCCCACATGTGATCTAGTTCCAAATTTCATCCAGCCTTGAGTGAATCTCTCCCTACAGCTGACTTCCCTCAAAGTCCCTTGGAATTCAGTAGTTCCCTCAAGCTGAGCCCTGACACACTGGGTGGGATCAACAAAGGTACTTAGGTGCTTAAACTCCAGATGTGGGTGCCTTCATTTGGGGTTTATGTGCCTAAGTCCTGGTTTTGCTCCACTGTAATTCACAAAATTCCTGATGAACCCTGTAGGGGCCTAAACTCACTCAGCACCTAAGTTTTTCAGAGTAAAAGTTCCCTAGGCATCTGTGTTCCTGCCTATGGGCATGTGTACTGCTGCCTTCCCCCAGTCACTTTGATGATTTCTTTACTCAGGGAGTAGGGTGTATCCACCTTGTCAAACTACAGACAGGGTTCATATACCCCATCATGTGGTGGTCACTCTATTCAGCACAGCAGAGTAGATCCAAATTCACCGGGTTGCTGACTTTTGAATAGATTCATAGATATGAACTGGGTAAGTCAAGTCACGCCCACTGTATTACTGCAAACAGCACCATTTACACATGAGCTCCTTCTGTGCAGCATAGAAGCTCACCAGTGTTGCCCATAAATAACTGCCAAATGTGTCTTTTCATCCATCCACATCTTTTTGGAGGTGACCCTGGTTGAACAGTCAGGGGACAGTGGGCAAAGAGTTGTGTTTTCAGCTTCTGTGCCTTGCCGACTCAAGTGCAGTTATTTATAGACAGGGGGCTGAGGATCCTTGTACTCCCTGACACTGATTATCTCAGCTCTTGTCTGAAGCTTTTTAGAGCAAAAATAAAACACCTCAGGTCTCTGTCTTTCCTCTGCAGATTCCCCAGAGTCAAGCGGAATAGAGGAACTGGAGGTGAAGTGTCTTCAGCTGCAGAATCAGGTCTGGGAAATGGAGGTGAGATTCATGGATGGACCCCCCCTGGCCTCACCCTGTGCTCCCCTGGAATTGGCTTCCTGTTCCTTCAGTCCATAAATGTTTGGTTCTTACTAAGCTGCCAGTTTCAATATCACTGCCTGTTATTACAGCCTCTGTACAGAAGGAACAGGTTAAATGGAAGATGAGGGACATTCCCTAATCCCCTTCCCACTCCTTTTCCTTTCTCCCCTTTTGAATCTGTTTTGATATATGATGTAACACTCAATAATAATTAGCAGCTTGCTAATCGTAGCACCGCTCATTCTGAAGAAACCCAGGGAATTGTACATAGATTCTTAGACTGTAAGGCCAGAAGGGACCATTAGATCATCTACTCTTTCTGACCTCCTGTAAACCATCAGCCATTACATTTTACCCAGTTATTCGTGTAAGGAGCTCAATAATTTGTTTAGCTAAAGCATATCTTGCAGAAAGATATCTAGTCTTGATCTGAAGACATCAAGAGTTGGAGAATCCATCACCCTGGGGAGCACTTCACTCACCTGTGATATGCAGTCATCTCTAGGGTGGAACACAGTAGCCTTTGAACAGCTCACAGCAACACTACACAAGATTGTAGGACAGAAAGTGAAGAATTATTTATCCAAATTGCAGTGTGGGGAACATTTATTAATACTATTACTACTTTGCATTTTAACTCATTTCCTCCAAGGATCCCAAATCTGCTCTATTACTATCCCCATTTTACAGACAGGAAAGCTGTGTCACAGAGAGTCAGTGGCTCTTGATACATGCTCAGCTGTTTGATATGGAACCACAACACTTTCCTCTATAATACAAAATTGATGTCTGACTGAAACTTTAACCTGGTGATGAGAGCAGAGAACTGGGAGTCAGGACTTCTGGGTTCTTCTTCCAGTGCTGCCACTAATTTCACTGTGTGGCCTTGAACAAGTTTTCTAACCTCTCTGTCGTTCAGTTTTCCAGTGTGTAAAATGCGGGTAGTTGTCCTGACTTAACTGACATTTAGTTGTGGGGTTTAAAAAATTAATGTTTGTGATGTACTTTGAGATCCTTGGGAGATAGGTGCTAAGTAAATATAGCACATCATTATTATTGACACCTGGCTAGATTGCATGCATTTTTAATAATGTTTATGTGCAAACACTTATGCCTCCTCCTTTTGATCTGTATGGCTTTAGTTTTGTTTCAGTCCCTTCTTTTGCTGTTCCAAGTTAACTGGCTGACTCAGTAGAACTGAAAACTCTTTGCAGTGATCAAAGACATGATAGACTGAGTACTGAATGATTGATCACTGTGGATAGATTCATACAACTTTTGGAGTCCATGACATGCTACTCTTCCTGCCCAGTGAGTTTTCTCACCCCCGCACCTTATAACAAGGTCAAACTTGTTCAAGGCAACACTCATTTTACAGCTCCCATTCCTGGCCTTTGATAGTCCCATGCTTCTCAAGCTAGTTCATCCTCTTCTCCCCTTCCCCATGCAGCGGTTTCTGAATGATTATGGATTGATTTGGGTTGGAGAGAGGAATGAACAGCTGGAAGAGTTGAAATCATTGAAGAAGCAGGAAAATCAGCCATCAAGGGGTCTCTGGAAACCAGGTAAAGCAGCAATGCCCTTTGCTGAGGCAGACAGCCTGCCCCTCATGGGGTATTTAAAAAAGGCATAATATTCTCCAGATTGGAAAAACAGATAATTTGGGATTTATTAATCAATCAGATTCATGGCACGATAGGCCTTTGTGACTCCTCTTGAACTGCTTCATCGTGCCAAGAATTTTTAGTGCCCTTTATATAAACTTTATTAACATCTCTGGACACAACGGAGGAGGTTTTCAAAGGCGCTAATGAGAGATAGGTACCTAACACCCTTTGACTTCAGTCACCTAACTGCCCTTTGAAAACCTCCCCTCTGTTATCTGTAGAACAGGCACTATGTGGGCAGTAGCAGGTCAGGCTTCCCCCTTACTGCACTCCCCTCCCAATATGCTTCAACTCTAACCCGGAGAGACCTCCCCTAGGGCTAAGAGCGGAGCTTGGTGTCAATGACATCCAGCCTTTGGCTTCTCTGCTGAGGCTGTTGAGAAGGGGGCATGGACGGTGGGTATCATAGGCTGGAGGAGGCTGAGCCTCCCCAAACAGCTAGGAGTGTCCTCACCCGTGCTCTGCCCCCAGGCCCCCTCCTGCCAGTTCCTCTGTCCCAGTGCTGTAGCCCTGGCTCAGGTTGGGGCTGGGGCTGTGCTTCCCACATGGTGCTCCAGGGCTGGGGACACTAGCCTGGGACAGGGGCCGGGGGTGCAGTGGGGGGAGGAGGGGCTCTGGTGGGGGGCACAAGAGGGGACTTCGGCCGGAAGGGGCAGAGCTGAGGGCTAGCCAACCTTAGCCAGCGGTTCACACGCTGCCCATGGAAGGGGGCCTGTTAGGAATGATGGCTTCTGGGATCTGAACCCCCAAATCAACCCCTTTGCTTTAGGGAAAGACAAAAAATGGCCGTGTGGGATTTTCCAAAGCTTGTAAGTGTCGTAGGTGCACAGGTATCATTGCAAATCAGTGGGACTGGAAAATCCTACCCTTAAATGACAGAAAATGCAGAGAGGGGAAGGATTTTGTATGGCCAGAGCACAGTGTGGAAGCAGCTTACAGCAGAGGTGAAGATACCCAGTGAAAATTAGTACAGCTTGATGCGGGGATGAAAGGGTCTAATGTTTTACAGATAGCTCTGGATGCAGGTTGGGTACAGGGCCGTCCTTGCCCATATGCAAAGTACACAGCTGCGTAGGGCACCAGGAAATTTTGGGCAGGAAGTGGAGCAACTCGGCCCCAACCTGCTCCGCGCCGCCAGCAAGTGCTGGGAGGCGGTTCCCCCCTGGCCCCCAAGCCTGCTCCTCCCCCCAGTCTGGAGGCCCCGTCTGGAGGCCACATGCACACACACCCTGTGGGGGGCTGTGTAGGGCACCAAAATGGCTAGGGATGGCCCTGGTTGGGTATGATAGGTCCCACAGACTTTCAAATGCTAAGGTCCTTCCCTGTTATGATTTCCTCATGATGATCCTGGGGTCTACATCCTAACCCATTTCAGTAGAAAGAAGACTTGCAATATAACACAAGCGGCACCAGGAACATAGTTTAGTAGCTGCGGATATTTTATAAAGCCCATTTCTTTTGTGGAGCTAATGGGTCAGCTATCAGGAAGAAAATCTTCAGAAGCAGTCCCCACACTTTGAATGTTTGGAGCCTGATTCCAATCTTAGGCAACGCAGACATGAAATGGGTGTGAGATCAAAATCTGGCCCTTTCTGTATGTATTAGGTGCATTGATTTGCCCCGATTGCCTGACCCCATCAAAACACACTATTGTTCCCTTCCTCCAGCAGCCACGTGAGTGGTTTTGTTGGGAGCCGGTTGCATTGTGTTGAATCCTATAGTATTTAGTGATGGCTTTCTGATAAGTGGTAAGAGAGAATTATGAGAATATACTTGGGACTTGAAGCAGCCTCACCTTCAGAGTGTTGTGAAAAGCCCCCACTACTTAACTTTCATAACTCCTTGAAGTAGGTAAGGGAGATGATCTCTGAATAGCAGTGGGCGTAAAGCACAGAGGCTAGCGTGTCAGTTCACTTGGCCTTACTTGCAGATTGATGCATTTACAGAGATTGTTTCCACTTATTGATGCCATTTTTATCTTTTGAAGGATGTGTCAAAAGCAGAATTGAAAATATCAGAGGCCTCATCCCAGTCAACATCTCTGCACTCACTTCCTCTTCTCATATACTTCTCCCACTGTCATCTGCACATCTCTCCTGCTCTACCCCATAAACCTGGCATCCCTTTCTGAAGCACCCAAAAGACCTCCCTCTCGCCAATAATCCACCAGCAGGAGAAGGGATTGTCTAGAAAGAGCAATCTGCCTGAGATCAGTCAGTCAGCTGGTGTCCCATCTGTGTTCCCTGCAGCAGCCTGTGCTGAAGTTAACTGCTGGTCTAACCTAGGTTGTAAGCTCTTTGGGACAGGCACCTCACCTCCCTCTTTGTATTGTACAGCACCAAGCAAGGAACGATGCTAAGTACATTATAACCATCAAAATAATCAGGGCCTCCAAGGAGTGCAGGCTGTGGTATTGGCTGATGATGCAGTTTCATAAGTTGATAACAAGGGGACTGGTTCTCCACTGTGGTGTTATATACACCTGTGCAGCGTGGAAGCGAAACACTGCCATTCTGATGTGATAGCATTTCACACTCCCTTCCCAAAGGAGTAAATGACACAAAGTGGAGGCAGGTGGGAGCCAGGCCCAAAATGGTAGGGTTTGGGCAGCACCTTTAACATGCCCATGCAGGGAGAAGTGTGGATTCAACACTCCTGTCTGCAGGCTCCTCCCTGACGATAACTCTGTTTTCCTTGCTGTAGGTCACTCAACTGTTTCCAACTACCCAATCGATTTTGATTTAATTTTTGAAAACCTGAAAGATTTAAACGTGCTGGCTGGGGAAGGTGTGTCTCAAATCGAACGTACAGCAGGAGGTGCGAGACTGAGGCAGCCCCAATCGATATCCCTCACTTTTTATCAGAATGGGATAGTCATGTTCAACGGACCCTTCCGGTCGTATGAGGAGCCGTCCACGCAGGTATGGACCAATTCCTGGAGGAAGTCAAGTTATTGCCATCTAACTATTCCCTCAGCAAAGGCTGAGGGTGGGAGTGGGGAAAGGCTGAGGCTTGTGGGGGTCACTCTAGTCCCATCTGCCCCCCACAGGGCTTCGTGAGGAATGATGGTTGTTAGAGGATCTGCCAGTCTTTCCCAGTCAGAGATCCTGTGGTGCCTTTGTAGGTCTCCAGGTCTGATGCAGGTGGAATGTATCAGCAGCGAGGTACTATGGAGTCTGAGGCCTGATTTTTAAGCATTCATGCTTTGTTTCAGCAATGTCTTCAGGATATCATGGATGGCTATTTTCCCTCAGAGCTACAGACGCGCTACCCGGATGGTGTTCCTTTTCAGGTAAGCAATGCAAAGCCCCTGCCATCTTCCTTTTAGGAGAAATCCCTCTCTCCATGCAAACTGCTTCTATCGTATTGTTTGCACCACTCTGCAGGCCTTTCTCAACACGAAAAGCAGTTTGATGTTTCTAAACCCAGCCCACGTGCAGCTAGACTTTTGAGGTGGGGCATGCACCTGCTACAGCCGTTACAGGAAAGGGCTAGGCCTTTGTGCACTAGAACTGAACGGTTTGTCTGCTTCAATTAATCATGGGTTAGAAAGAGACAGTGAGGGCAAAATTTCTGAGTCACTAGAAAGCAGTCAAAGGCGGGAGGTGTGACGGGTTGAACCCCCTGGGGTGTCACTTGGTGTGCTGGGACACCACTGAGTCAAACTATTCTGCCAGCCTGGGCCCCTTTTTACCTGGTCTTGCTGGACTGGGCTCCCCAGCCTTTTCCAGCCAAGCGCACAGGCAGGGCCACACCCAGCTGCACAGAAAGACAGAGATCTGCACTGAGAAGGCTCAGCTTACGGGGCTTGCCACAGCACCCACATGTCTACCCCCATTCCTTTGGAGTACAAACCGAAAATTATATAAAATTCACCTCTTCCCTCAATGTGGAGGAGGGTGTATACAACTTCTTGCCCCCCCCCCAGTTATTAGTCACATAAACTGGGTTGTATTATAAACCAGAAATAAATGTATTAGCTATAAAAGGTGTATTTTAAGTAGTTAAGGAGGTAGCAGACAGAACAAGGCAGATTACTAAGAAAATAAAACACAGCACACAAACTAAGCTTAATACACTAAAGAAACTGGTTATATGTAAGTTCTCACCCTAAATGTGGTTCTAATAATCTTCACAGGTCAGACACCCTTGCAACCAGGGTCCAGTTCTTTCCCCCAGTTCAGTCTTAGGGTACATCTACAGTACGAAATTATTTTGAAATTATTCTGTTCGAATGTTCGGAAGCTATTTTTATACGTTCGGTCTTCTGTGTCCCCACTAAAGTGCATGAATTCGGTGGAGTGCGTCCACAGTACCAAGGCTAGCATCGAATGTTGGAGCGGTGCATTGTGGGTAGCTATCCCACAGTTCCCGCAGTCCCCGCCGCCCATTGGAATTCTGGGTAAAGCTCCCAGTGCATGATGGGGCAAAAACATTCTTGTGGGTGTTTCTGGGTTTGTGTCGTCAGTCGCTCCTCCCTTCGTGAAAGCTACGGCAGACGCCATACTGCTTTCAGCAGACGGTGCACTGCTGCTTTCCTGCTACTATGAATCCACCTCTCATTTTCTCTCATCTTCCTATGTAATCTCTACTATCTACTCTTTCTCTTCCTCATCGAACGCTTCTGCCGCCAGCTCTGCTCTCCCGCTATTGTCGCGCTTCCGAGCTTCTCCATGTTGTCTGTCCTGGCCCCCGGCTCCGTAAAAGCTACAGAAGACAACCATTTCCTGCCTTTTTTCGGCTACCGTGAACGGAACAGCACCTCTTCCGCTGCCACTCTGCTCTCCTACGTTTCGTGCCCTTTTTCCAGGATTACCCGTGCAGGCGCCATAGCCATGGAGCTCGATCAGATCTCTGCTGCAGTTTTGACCATTGTAAATACCTCGCACGTTATCCATCAGTATGTGCAGTACTTGCAAAACCGGGCAAGGAAGCAACGACAGCGCGATTATGGTAGTGATGAGGACATGGACACAGACGTTCCTAGAAGCACGGCATGGGATCATGGTGGTATTGGGCCAGGTTCATGCCATGGAATGCTGATTCTGGGCACGGGAAACGAGCACAGACTGGTGGGACCGCATAGTGTTGCAGGTATGGGATGATTCCCAGGGGCTGAGAAACTTTCGTATGCGTAGGGCCACTTTTGTGGAACTTTGACTTGCTGTCCTCTGCCCTGAAGCGCAAAGACACCAAAATGAGAGCAGCCCTCTCAGTTGAGAAGCGAGTGGCCATAGCCCTGTGGAAGCTTGCAATGCCTGACAGCTACCGGTCAGTCGGGAATCGGTTTGGAGTGGGCAAATCTACTGTGGGGGCTGCTGTGCTGCAAGTAGCCAATGCAGTCATTGACCAGCTGCTATCAAGGGTAGTGACTTTGGGAAATGTGCAGACCATTGTGGATGGCTTTAATGCGCTGGGGTTCTCTAACTGCAGCGGGGCAATAGATGGAACGCATATCGCTATCTTGGCCCCGGAACACCGGGGCGGCCAGTACATAAAGCTCAGGGGGTACTTTTCCATGATGCTGCAAGCACTGGTGGATCACAAGGGACGTTTCACTGACATCAATGTGGGATGGCCGGGAAAGGTGCATGACACTCGCATCTTTAGGAACTCTGGTCTGTTTGAACAGCTGCAGGAAGGAACTTACTTCCCAGACCAGAAAATTACTGTTGGAGATGTTGAAATGCCTATAGTTATCCTCGGGGACCCAACCTACCCCTTAATGCCAGCCTCATGAAGCCATACACAAGCACCCTGGACAGTAGTTAGGAGCAGTTCAGCTATAGGCTAAGCAAGTGCAGAATGGTGGTAGAATGTGCATTTGGACGTTTGAAAGTGCACTGGTGCAGTTTACTGACTCGGTTAGATCTCAGCACAACCAATATTCCAATTGTAATTGCTGCTTGTTGTGTGCTCCACAATATCTGCGAGAGTAAGGGGGAGACATTTATGGCGGGATTGGAGGTTGAGGCCACTCGTCTGGTGGCCAGTTTCTCACAGCCAGACAACAGGGTGATTAGAAGAGAGCAGCAGGGCGCACTGTCCATCAGAGAAGCTTTGAAAGCCAGTTTCATGACTGGCCAGGGCACAGTGAGACAGTTGTGTTTGTTTCTCTTAGTTACCCGCCCCCTATATATATGAAAGGAAATAAAGTCACAATTGTTTAAAAACCATTCTTTATTATTTGTTGCACAAAACATTGAGAGAAATCAGAAGCTAGACGGGGGAGGGGTGGGCTATTGGGTTAGGGGGATGGAGGAGGAGGGAAGGACAAGTCCAGAAACCAAATAAAAATTTAGGATATGCCCGCTTTCTGCTGCTTGTGCAATCCTCTGGGGTTGACTGTGCGGGTCCCCGTAGCCTCCCCACCGGTGTTCTTGGGCATCTGGGTGAGGAGGCTATAGAACTTGGGGAGGAGGGAGGGCGGTTATACAGGGGCTGCAGCGGCAGTCTGTAGTCTTTCTGCCTTTCCCGCATTAGATCCACCAGACAGCGGAGCATGTCAGTTTGCTCCCCCATGAGCTTGACCATAGCATCCTGCCTGCTCTCATCGCGCACGTCCCTCCTCTCTTCGTAGTCACGTAACGCTCTACGCGACTCCACAATTGTTTGCCTCCATGCATTCAGCTGGGCCCTATCAGTGCGGGAGGACTGCATGAGCTCCGCAAACATGTCGTCCCGAATTCGTTTTTTCCACCTTCTAATCTGGACCAGCCTCTGGGATGGAGTAGATAGGGGCCACGTTGAAACATTTGCATCTGCTGCGGGAGGAGAAAAAGGGAGGGTAGTATTTTAAAAGAGACATTTTAGAGAACAAAGGGGACACTCTTACTCAGTGAAACAGGCAGTTCATAGTACACAGCACATGTTCTTTCTGTACAAGGTCTCATTTTGCCTCTTATACTGAAGTGCCTGCCGCTTTGGTGTGAATAAGCCCCCACATGCAGCCGGGCAACAGAATTCAGCTTGCAGGCAGCCATGGTAAGCCCTAGGGGCACGTGGGGTTCTGCTTCTTCCGCATTCATTTCAGTGTTTTCAAACTGCTGGGCCCCCTTTACCCTAGCAAGCAATGCCTGGTGGGTTTGCATATAAAAGGAGGGCCTGCGGGCTCTCTGGGATGATCGCTTCACACAACCCCCTCCCCCCCACACCGCGTGGCTCTGAGCAGGGATGAGCCCTTTAAACTAAATGCAAACAGCCCAGTGCAGCTGGGTTTCCCCCCACCCCTCACTGTGTGGCTCTGATCAAGCTCTCACTCACCAGAAGTGCCTTCTCCCGGATCACGGTCCGGGAGCATGCCTTGGGAATGGGGGGAGGCTATTGGCTCCAGCATTAAGAACAGTTCCTGGCTAGGGGGGGAAACAGATTCCCCATTTGCCGTCTGTGCACTGTCCTCCTCCTCCTCCTCCTCTTCGTCCTCCAAAAACTCATCCTTCTCGCTCCGTGCTACTCCCCCCTTGCAAGTGTCCACGGTCAGTGGTGGGGTAGTGGTGGCGTCCCCCCCATAACTGCATGCAGATCATGGTAGAAGCGGCATGTATGGGGCTGTGACCCAGAGCGCCCTTTCGCCTCCAGGCTTTTTGGTATACTTGCCTGAGCTCCTTGATTTTTGTACGACACTGCTCTGTGTCCCTGGAGTAGCCTCTTTCCGTCATGGCCCTGGAGACTTTAGCGTACGTATTTGCGTTTCTTTTTTTGGAACGTAGTTCTGCCATAACAGATTCATCGCCCCAAAATGCAATGAGATCCAGTACCTCCCGTTCGGACCATGCTGGAGCTCGTCTGCGAATCCAGGACTGCATCATCGCCTGTGATGGTGGACTGTGCTGATGGTCGCCTGAGATGGTGGACTGTGCTGATGGTCGCCTGTGCTGATGGTGACCAAACAGGAAATTCAAAAGTTCCTGGGGTTTTTACTGCCTACCTGGCTAGTGCATCAGAGTTGAGAGTGTTGTCCAGAGCGGTCACAAGGGAGCATTCTGGGATAGCTCCCGGAAGCCAATAATGTAGAATTGCATCCACAGTACCTGTAACCCGGAACTGCGATCTCGATTTTAGCGCTACTCCACTTGCCGAGGTTGAGTACAGAAATCGGATTAAAGAGCCCTTTAAATCGAAAAAACTGGTTTGGTCGTGTGGATGGATTCAGTTTTATTTCGAAGTAACTTGGCTAATTGTGAAATAACCGCGTACTGTAGACCAGGCCTAAGTTGTTTCCAGCAGTCATCTTGGGTGGGATAGCAGGGGAGAACTGAGGATCTGGATTACCTCACTCCCCACCCTTAAATAGGATTTGCATAAAGCAGGAATCCTTTGTTTCCTAGTTTGACACTCCTCCCACACACCAGCTTCTTGTGGAAAAGTACAGAATTCAAGATGGGTTCCAGTATCAGGTGACATGGTCACATGCCTCTGTAGGGCCCTTGTAGCCATTCTTCACAGGCTGACCCACAGATTCACAGGAAGGCCATCCTCCCGGTTTGGCTTTTCCATTGTTCTACCTGAAGTGTTAGCAGTGGGCGTCACTCAAAGTAGCTTAGCTGAAATACAGATACATAGTCAATATTCCTAATTTCAGATACAGAAATGATGCATGCCTACAAATAGGATAATCGCTGTTAGGGGGCTTATTCCTTCACCCACTTACTTCCCTGGTCCTTCTCGCATGAACAGAGAGCAACAATACCCGAAGTCCAAAGGTGCAAACAATTCGATGTTTATTGGGGTGAACTTCCAGCAAGCATGATTCCAGTTTCCTTCCTTAGTATCCTCCTTCCCAGCTCTGACACCACAGAGCCTTACACCTGTGTCCCTGTTCCCATTCCTACCCTTAGCCAAACATGATTCCAACTTCCTTACTCCCATTCCCTGTTCCCATTTCCCCCTTTAGCAAAACATGATTCCAATTTTCTTACCCCCATTCCCTGTTCCCATCTCCCTCACCCGCATGCCCACGCCCACCCCCCTACTTCCTGATTGACTGCAGACTATATAGTAAAACTTGAGTTCTGCTTTGCTATACCTTAACCAATCATTTTCCTGAAATTTAACTAACCAATCCTAACATATTGTAACATGATTATGTACCCAATTATATCCCACCACCTTAATTAGTTTACACCCAGCAAAATTAATTATACAGCAGACAGAAACAATCACAGAACCAGACAGAGATTATACAGACAAACAAAGCAAAGTGGGAACTATAATGTCAAAACAATACAGAAGTGAGGATTCCACATCCCAGCTACTGATAAGTGAGTTCTTGCCAGACAGGATGCTATCAAACTAAGTTTCCTTTTACATTTTCTAGGCACTTCCCTTTCTCTGGAGGTGATAGGCACTATCAGGACAGGATTGTATTCCTAACAGCCCAATAGCACCTTATTTCAATGTGACTAGTTTGGAATGTGAGGATGTGACCATTCACTTCCCAGTTTATGGCTGCCTCTGTTGCTTAGCCAAAGGCCTTAGCCTAAGAACAGGGCCTCAGACTGTCACAGTAAGAGAAGGCCCTTACACTGGCAGACAGTGGTTTTGATTCTTTCTTTTATACCTCTATAACTAGCCAAGTGATAAGAATACACCTAAATTCTTAGAGTATAGGCCTTTACAGACAGACCTGAATATCTATATCCTAACAATCGCATTCAGTAAATCGTAACCTTTCCAATGATACCTCCCATGAGCCATCTTGCATAACGTATATCTCAGCTATATCATATTCATATCATAAGCATATTTTCATAAAGAATATGGAATGACACGTCAGCGGAGGCAGCTGCAGAGGATATTATAATCCAGACCTTCACATATAAAATTAGGAACACACATCCCATGGAGCTGTATGTGCTCAGCCCCCCTGGGAAATCAGGCCACTTCCGTGTAGGTGCCTAACTTTAGACACCCGATTTGAAAATGTTGGGCCTGCCACTGTGGGGGTTAGAGAGTCATGAGGGAATGGAAGATGCCCAGTGGGGACTTAGAGTACATCTACGCTGCAGTAAAACACCTGCGGCTGGCCTGTGTCCGCTCACTTGGGCTCGCAGGCCTCGGGTTGTGGTGCAGACATTCAGGCTTGGGCTGAAGCCTTAGCTCTGGGACCCTCCCCCCTCACATGGTCCTAGAGCCTGGGCCCCAAGCCAAGTCCAAACAGCTACACAGCAATTGTATAGCCCTGCAGTCTGAGGCCGATGAGCCACAGGGGTTTTATTGCAGTGTGGACGTACCCAAAGTGGCCTTGTGCTTCTCTGACAGTTGTGTTTTGCTGAACTGGGTGGGACTGGGGACCATGGGGGGGCTGAATATGGTGCTTTTGCTTCTTTGGGTTCAGAGAGACATCTGGTGGTCCTGGCTGCTTGCACATCCCTTCTTCTGTTAGCACAGATCAAGGCAAACGCCTGGGTGAGCCTATCGATAAAAAATAATACTTTACAATTTCACATCACCTTTTATCTGAGGATCAATTTTCATAGATGGGAAAACTGAGGCACAAAGCAGGATCAAATCACTGAACAAATGTGTGCAAGGCTGGAGTGATCATCTGTCTTAGGGTCTGGATGTGATATTGAACTGCTAACTAGAAGGGTTTTAGACTTGAAGGGACACAGGTGTGGGTTTATTTTTCTGGAGGGTCTAAAAGGATCTGCAGACAGCTTCCTTTATAGGGGTTCTATGTTAGAACCACCCTCAGGAGGAATTAACTGTCTCTGTTAGTTGTTTGTTCTTGTTTTGTTCTTGCTGCTTACCCTTTAGTGTGCTCTGATGCAGTGAGAGCTGGGTCCTGGAGGCAGACAGGCTTGCTAATGACAGCTAGAGTTAATTTAACAGGTAACTGACAGAAGAGACGTTTTCTTTCGGGAGAGGCAGCTACCAGAGAACTTTCCTGGCCAGGGGCAGGTAGTTGGCCATTTGAAGTCAACTGAGGTAAAGGAAACCAGTGAGATCCCAGGTGAGTCTTTTGCCATTCCCACTAATCCCTGGAGATCCCCTACTTAGCCCCAAAAGAGAGAATAAATAAAGCCCTGGTGAAGCCTGGCAACAGGCATCCAGTTACTCAGGAGTTAATTCTGAGAGTCTCTGAGTTGCATGGTGACGTTCTGAGAGGAGTGTTATGTGTGTGCTTCCACGTGCTGCTGCAGGAACTGAGAGCTGCTCCAACAGTCAGTTTCAC